GCACGTCCCTGCGCCACTCGCTAATCGCTCCAATAACAGCTGCTTCCTCCACAGAAATGCAGACTTTTACTACACAACAGCTGCTAGTACAGACAACAAAGCAAGCAACGCTTGAAATTCGTTATCCATGTTGAAATGAATCACTGGTAGCCCAGTTTGTTTTCTTCCGGGTACGGGTCACGTGATAGTGAGTGTGACGAATCAGGGAAGGAGACGTCATGGCTGCTAAGAACCAATACAGTAGCAAACACGGGTGTGGGCGTCATTTTTTCTAAACACATCAGTTTCCGACCGTCCACACTCAAACGCAACCCCGGAGTTTTCAAACACCTCCAACCTCGGGGGTGTTTTCAAACTCCTCCGTTTAGGGTGCTCCAAAACTCCAGCGTAGTGTGGCCGCTCAGTGTAAACGTAGCAAAACATATGTGTTTCCAAACGTAAGCAGAGTAATGTGGACAGGGCCTCAGGCAGTACTGTGATAGAAAATGTTAGTGTGCTAGTACATTTCTACTGTGATTTAGTTTATGTGCCTTACTCACTAACAAAACTATATGTGACATATGAGTGTGTACTGAGGAGAGTGGTGACAGGACCATATGGGTTATCTCCGCCTTTGCTTTGATAAGGGGAAGTAACCAAATGGGGGTTGCAGTTTAACCAGAGAATGTTTAGGTGTGAAGATTCCCAGGGATAATCAAAGGTAATAAAGACACATGTCTTTGTGTGACAAGGCTCAGAAGACGAAGGGGTGACTGCAATGGGGAGCTTGAAATTGCTGATCAATTGTTGTAATGTAAATACCTGATGTTCCCCCCTACTGTGTGCTGAGATGGTTAAGAGCAGGAGACAAACTGAACTCTTGGCTCATTCCTCTGCAGACTGTTTTTGCAGTCAGTATGACGGTGAAGCCTTCTCTGGCCAGAGAATAAATACTTAAAAAATTTCTTTCCTCAATGTTTCTTGTTTCAGTATTCAGTATTATAGGACTCACTCGGTACTATTGAATAGTTTTTTTCCACCACAGTACCTACTGTATTTGGAAAGCACTGAATCAAACCAGATAAGCAAATCACCAACTCCTAAATGTTGTTCATGCTGTGTGTCCTCTGTGTGGCACGGCAGGTAAACCCGCTGTGGCTTCACAGGAGCTGCTGAGAGCCTGTATATCTTGTAACACAGGAATATGTCACTGCAGTCATCACTCAATGGGGAATCTATGTTGATGTGTATGCAAAACACATCAACCAATTATTGATACTCACTTCGTAATCGAATGGGGATTAGATGGTGAAGATAAAAAAACGTTTGCTGATCCTGATAAAGATTGCTTAGTAGATGAATAACTCTTAGCGTACATACATTTTCAAAAACAAATGATTAATGACAATATATGGCCAATGTTGATATACAGTACATACTCACTGACTCCCAATGAGTTCTGCAGGTTAAGATTTAAAAGAAGAATAATCAATTGCATCAGCCACACATTTTATTTTTATGAAAAACACATTGACAGAACAAGCCACTTCAAAGGCCAAATTCTGGATTAAAACTATAAATTCCAGTTGCAAAACCAGTGGCATAAGGTATACAACTGCACACTATCATGACGAGGCTTAGTGAACGCTTGTAACCAGTTATGAAACAGACAAACACACACATACACACACCATCTGTAATTGTTGCCGTTATATATTTTATTTCTACATAATTTTTATAACTCATTCACTTTGTCCAAGAGCAATATCATAATTGATAATGAATTTCAGTTGAACTTGTTATTTACACATTATTTAATTTAGTACAAAATTAATGGTGCTATTATTTTCTCTATTATTTATTTTCTCTTACACCTCGTTTGGTTGGTCTCGTTTGATTGAGACTTTAGCGTCAGTGTTTTGGACGTGGCAGGGACAGTGTGTGAGTTTTCACTGGTTACATGCAAAGTGTCAAAATAAACCTCCGTCTTCACAGGAAGTTAGGTATAGGCAACAAAACCACGTATTTAGGTTTAGGAAAAGAGCGTGGTTGACGTTAACTTGACTGACTCGCAACTCATGTGTTTACCGGATGACAAACGAGTCACAAACTAGCTACTCACTTGAGTCACTTATAGCGACATTAACGACTCACAAGAAGCAGTGACAACATGTTGAAGTTTACATTTAGTTTCACACGGGACAAGAACACTGGTCTCCCGGATGAATGTGCTGTGTTTGTTTGACCCATACGCCTCCCTTCCCACTCACCCTGTGGTGACTATCTTGTTCATTATACTAGGTCAGGTGCTCTGACCGTCCAATAATGATGCGGGTGGGTTTACTGTATCAGACATCAAGGGGCACTGACCAACCGCTGGTATTTGACGAGTTGAGACCAGGTTTTTACAACACCTCACAGAACTTCGTAAATGAACTATGCTGAAATGCTGAAAAACCAATGCTATCGTTTTTCTTGGGAGGATGGACTCCACACGTGGGTAGGAAGGCCAGGTGAAAAGTCTGCAGCTCATCAATCACTGTGAAAAGTGAGTACAAATATTCACGTACACAGCCACACATTATTTTGCTGTCATAAAGGGGGTTTCTGAGGCTGTGATATGATATGAAAATCGCTTAATTTAAAGCTAATTGAGGCATATTCGGTATGCTCGGGAGTATTTACAGCAGCAAGCTTGAGTATGTATCACTGGACCAAAATAACCTAATGTTCATTGTGATGAAGGAACATGTCCCCCAGTCTGACAATGTTGGTCATTGATGTGTTAAGTAATACTTTTGGACAACAGTATATCAGACCTTACCAACACAGACAACAGGCTACTTGCTATGTTGGTGACAGTAAGAACAATATCACACCTTCTTTTTTTTAAGGATTTTTTTTCCTTAAAGCAAATAAATGAGGAAACAAATGTACAAGTCCAGTAGGTTGTGCATTAATCTCTGATACTTAAATGCTTTAAACACAAATAAACAAATACTGATAAAACATTTTCATTGAGCCAAACTTGCTCTGAATTTTCAGTATAGTACTTTTGAACGTTATGGCCCTGAGCTCCAGACTGTGACATTTTAGGTCACCCTCTAGAATCAATTTTGGACGTGGCAATGACGGTGTGTTAGTTTTCACTCGTTACATGCAAAGTGTCAAAATAATAGTTTTCGACAACAGTATATCAGACCTTACTAACTCAGACAACAGGCTACTTGCTATCAGGATCGATTCACTTGTTTTAATGGGAGTTGTTGACAGTAAAAACAATATCACACCCATTTTTTCTTGTTCAAGGATTTTTCTTTAGTAAAGCAAATAAATGAGGAAACAAATGTACAAGTCCAGTTGGTTGTGCATTCATCTCCGATACTTAAATGCTTTAAACACAGATAAACAAATACTGATAAAAATGTCTCATTGAGCCAAACTAGCTCTGAGGTTTTCAGTATAGTACTTTTGAACTTTATGATTTATAGTAGTGTGCAAGAATTGTATTTAGAACGATTTATCTTTAGAAATGATTATCAAATAATTGCTTAGACCTGTAAACAAACAAGTATCCAACAATAACTTCTGTACGCCCATGTGTACCAATCTGAGTTACTAAGGATCAGAGAGAAACAAATTATTATGGAACACATGTGATGTAATCTGTTGATTATGTTTTGTATAATACAGTCCAACAACATATGATATGATGAATAATGGGTTTCCCTCAATGCCTCTGATGCAATGTTTGATGATGTCAACATTAATGAGTGCCCATGGGACGGTACACTGTATGCTTTATTTTTCAAAGGTTATTAATGTAGAGTGACTAAGTTGGAAATGGCCAACAGGCCATTATCTCCATTATCCCTGGAGAGCAATTAAAACATGCCTGGCTACCCTGGAGTGCCACCCTGGGTAACCAAACCAAAACAAATGTGTTTTTCAGTTTGGCAATTGGTCAAGAGAATGAACAAGCAAACACACAAGTGTAACCTTGGTTTTGGAAAAACAGAAATGACTGACCTTGTGACCTCGCACATGTTTGACTGTGATGACCAGCCTGATCACACAGAAGTACGTGAAATGACCATGATCTCTTAACAGCACATTACGTGGTGGTGGCAAATGATGAAAGCAATGAAAGTCAATTAGGATTCTTTTTTCGTGGTGGACACATGAAAAAAAACGTATCCACGTGAATGTACAAGCCTCAGAGATAGTGACTTAGTACGAACAGTGAGAAAGACTACGTCAGTTGGGAGAGGAGGCACAGGACATTCAACCACTCATTTCTCGCATTCATGTGAGATCATGTGGGTTATGACAGTAGAAGTCACACTTTTTATGGTACTTTCATTCAATGTACTTTGTACTAAAAGTAACATGATTTTCTAGAGACACTGCCGACACCATGCAGCAATTGTGATGAATGAAATGGCAGATTAAAAAACCTAGTCAAACACTGCAACATATATGGGCAGGTCGTGCAAGATTAATTCAACAATATTCTCCTTCATTACCTCTCTTTAAATGCATTTTCAAGTGTCCTTGAGGGAGACACTGATTCCCAAGTAGCTCCCTTGGCACCTCACAGCAGACCATTACTCTTAAAATGCAGGGGCAACATTTTGTGTACGTATCTATAAATGATAATAAAAAATATAGTTAAAGTTTAAATAGTTAGATAAGGATCTATCTTGAGGAGCGCACATGAGAGATTGTGAATGCAACATCCACACCGGTCTGTTGCCTAAAATGCATGCACTTAGATAAGAAACTAAGCAGTTTTATAAAAGTGTGTATCGAAGCAAAAGACAGAGACTGAGTTTTCACTTGCAAAAAGTACATGTGAGCACATGCAGATACATTGGTGCACTTGCAGAAGTGTGGCAACTAAGATCCGAAGTGTTTTCCACTCATTGTATCAATATGCATGCTCTGGCCAGTAAAGGGTTAAGACAAAGGGGTTGTCTCTGTTAGGCATTGTTTTCTAATCAGCAGCTTCAGTGGGTGAAGTAGTGCAGTGTGTGAAAGTGTAGATAGAGAACAGCAGCAGGAATAGAGGTACACGACAGGTTAAAGAGGCTGAAAGCAAGGAAACGAAACAAACGCAAAGAAGACGGGAAGAACGAACAAAGGAGACTTCTCAGAAAGGGCAAAATTGTCAGCAGCACAGAAAGAGAAGAGTAAAAAAACACAATGACACACCGGCTGTTTGAGGGGAAGGATCATGCCTCCGCCTACCAAAAGTATCGCTTTACACCTCCAGAGGAGCTCAACAACATCATTCTTCAATACCTCTCTAAAAAGGTATGCCATGGCCAAATAAACTGTGATAATAAGGTCCGTTCGGGTATCATAGTGCATTTATTCTGCCCATTTGATGCACAAAACAAGAGTAATTTTTCTATTTTGCGATATTCAACAACAGCGGCGGCTGGAGGGCGCTAGGGCGCCGCCCCACCTTGAGCCACAACAAATAAAATTAATAATAATAATAATAATAATAATAATAATAAACTATACAAATTGTCAATATTTGTGGTTTTGAAATATGGGATCACCCAGTAATATGTGTAAAATATGATATCTGCGGTAAATACATGCTTTTCCTGCACGTCCTCTCCGCCTGTCTGCACGTCCTCTCCGCGTGTGCACGTCTCAGCTGGCTGGGGCGCTGGCGAAACTGCCCAAAAGTGGCGGGTCTATGAAGCAGTTTAGCCAATTGCTGATTAAAGATATAAATGTGTAGCCAATCAGCGTCCTCAAATAGATTCAGTTTCGGGCAGAATCTGCGCGTTCCCGTCCGGACTAGTCTCTACAGGCGAGCGCAAGCGCCAGCGCGAGCACTGCTCCTCCAAGACCCGATTGAGAGGAGAACTTTGGCGGAGATTCTGCAGGCCAAAGAGCTGATCCCAGATCAGCCTGACCTCACAATCAGACAGCAGACTATGGAGCTAAATCCAGGTCAAAAGTTTTGTTCATTTGAAAAAAAAATGTGAATCTGAAAGTTCAAGTTGTGGTCTTGAACATTGAAAAATACAGCAATGTATTCAAAATAAAAACAAGTGAATGAAAAGTTTTTTTGTAGTAATGCAAAGTAGTAATGCATGTTTGATACCTTAATTTTTTTTGCTTTAAATCATACTGGGATGTTTGCTGAAATTGATTGGATGTGGCACAGACCTACCTAGAAAATTTTCCACCAGCCGCCACTGTTCAATAAATTCTGCACATCTGTTAACATCCTCAGAAGGGACAGCCACATGTGCTGGCAGTGGATCTGGGATGTGGTACGGGTCAAAACTCGCATCTACTGGCGCCGCACTTCCAGGAAGTGGTGGGTATCGACATCAGTGAGTGTCAACTGGAGGAGGCCAGGGCCGTGCCAGGGTACCCTAACATCACATACAGGTAGGAGTGTGTGAGTCACTCTATTCGTGTGGATGTAGTTAATCTTTGGCAATGAAGAATGACGTTGAAATGCTAATGTTTCAGAAGTATTACTTAGTGTGACCTGTCTCCTGCACTTGCAGGAGGGGGACAGCAGAGGATCTTCCTTTTCCGGACTGCTCTGTAGACTTGCTGACGGCAGCGTCGGCGGCCCACTGGTTCGATCAGTTGAGGTTCCTGGCCGAGGCAAGTCGGGTTTTGAAACCCCGGGGTTGCGTGGCTCTGCTGGGCTTCAGCGACCTTAACACCAGACTTCACTACCAGGACTGTGGAGAAAGACTCAATCACATATATGAAGAGGTGGGTGAAGACTCTATCATGGGAGTCGTGTCAAACCTGATCCGCAGTGCATATGTTTTTGACTGGTGGTATCGTTATTGGGTAAACATTTCTGAGGGAAATTATGCCACGAATAGTGTCAGTTCTCGGTACCAGGACACTTTCAATACTCTTTCAAAAGTACATTCTAGTCTTTTTTGATAAATAAATGAATGAAACAGTAGCACAACATCTGCAAAGATTACCATTGCAATTACTGTAAGCTTCTACCACCTGTTTGACTTCTATTCGTCATCTACAATAATGAAAGAAGTGAATGAAAAGAAAACTATGCTCTCCGTTTGCTTGTCCTGATTGCAGTCCAACCCAGTGGTCTGAGTCTGTTTTTTTCTGTGTCGACAGTCCAGTAGTCAGAACACAAACTCATTTTCCATTATATTATTAAATGTATTATTACTTTGTTTATTGGTTATTCATACAGGGAGACAGACACAGTATTCATGCAACACAAATTCAATACAAAATGGGATGGTTAAACATTCATATGCATCCACTTCCAGGTGAGGCAGGTGCTGTTGCCATACACTAGCAATCGAGTAACTGTAAGTGAGGGTAAGCTGGAAGAGCTCTACTCTGCCATCCCTTTTCCTGACAAAGAGAGGTAATCACCACACAAACCTAAACACACCTCTGCGATAGCTAAATACAATATCATTTTCTGCTGACAGATTTAAGTTGTTAACAAACTGGTTCAGCGCTGAAATCACGATCGTAACTTAATCCGTGACACAGAAATGCAGTTATTATTGTTGCCTGGAATTAATGCTAAATGCACAGTTAAATGAAAAATAAGTGTTTTTATGTCCCAGTATTGTTTAATTGTCTTTATATGTAATAATACATCAATATAATGATACAACAGGATTGAGAGTGTTCAGGTGAAGTCGTCAATCTCGGTGAGGAACCTGGTGGGCTTCATTGAGACCTGGTCCATGTTCCAATTTTACAAGAAAAAAGATCCAAAGGCCGCTGACGAACTGCTGCTTAAGACTCAAAAGAGGTCATCTATCCACACACACACACACACACACACACACACGCACACACACACACATACATGAATTGTACATGTCTGCTATTATAATGATCCTTTTTTTATAAACTTCAACTGTCTGAATGTTTTTCTGTGGTGCTCCACTGAGTACTGAGCTGAATAATCAATCACTGCACTGCTTCACAGGTTTCTGGAGGAGATGGGAGTCATGTCTCCTGACACTGAAATAGAGCAGGAAATGGAATATTTCTGCATCCTGGCTTCAAAACCAGGATAATCAACAGCGTGTGTTTTGAGAGTGAGTTTGTGGGTCTTAGTCGTCGCAATCTGCAATTTATTAACTTGAAAACCGTCCAATTTTTGACTGCATTTGTTGAACGGGGACATTTCTAAATAAACCCTTTTTTTCTGAGTACAACTCTTGTTTTCCCAGTGATTGTTTGTGTAACACAAGTGAAAAAAATCAGCTGACGAATACCTTTGACCAGATTTATGCTATATAATCCTTCACACACTGCTTATTGTCTTAGGGAAGAATGTTTAGACCAGTTTACATATGACAAACTGTATTTTGCTTCTCTTAAAGTTTCATTTTGCACCTCTCAAATAGTTTCCCAAAGGAAACAACTGATCCCTTGAAGCAAAGTGAGAGGTTACACAACTGGAGATTATTTAGAAGCACAACATACCACTGTTGTTTCACAGACGGGGTGCTTCGTCAAGTTTTTTTTTGCAAAGCTCTTGACAGCTCTTAATCTAGTTACTTGAAATGCACAAAACTGCAGGAGTTTGGTTGTTTCAACATCTTGGTCCATTTATTTGTTGTTACTGCTGCGGTGCTCTCTTTATTCTCTGTTCTTTCACAGAGGGGTAGAAGACAGCTTGGAGAGGTTGTACCTGCTTTGTGGACTGCGAATGAAGCTTATTAAGTAACTTGGGTTCATGCTACAGCTTTTCACAAAGAAACAGAATGCAAACAAATCTGTCCTATAAAAATGTACAGTAATTATCTTTTTAATAACAAGTAATGAGAGATAGAACGTGCACATGAATGGATATACTGTACGCAAACAGCAATAGTTGTCCTTGGCAAACTAATGGCATTCACCAAATCCAAGTTGTGGTGTTAAAATAAAACAGCAAGATTATCGGCATCATTGGATAGTACGGGTATATTATCGAGTATAAATTAGCATAACATGTGCAATAGTAAAGATTCAGTGTCCAAAAGTGACTTAAAAAGGGTAATGGTAACAAAAACCACCTATAATGGCTTGTGCATGAACCCATTATTCCTCACACCATAAGGGGTGAGTTATACACATTTTAAAGAGACACTATGACAGTTTAGCAAAAGTTACATATTCTCACTCTAAGTAAGTCAACTTGCAGTAGGAAAATAATTACGTTATAGTAATATAATTAAAGTTTTGACCAGAGTGAGATCTAACTGAAGCTAATGTTAACCTTTAAAAGTAACTGACCTTTATAATGATTACAGATCACAATTGACCTTTCACTAAGTCCCACCCATGGACTGCAGGCCAATTATAGCGTAGCTTTGCCAGCTCTGACCAGGGGCCGACATCTATCGGGCTTGGCTGGTTTCATGTATTTGGAGCTCGTCACGGTAAAACGTTATGTAACTTGGATACTGGTCACCTGGAGAGGTTGGAAAAAGATATAAGTTTCCAATACATTACATTTCTATGAAAAAATCTGTGGAGCTAACATTAGCAGAGTGCTTTAGCACATCTTTAACTAGCGTTAGTAAATCTATTCTAAGCTAACTGAAAATGTTGTTATAGTAATGCACATGCTGCTTTTGTTTTTTAATGGTTGAAACACTAAATGAAGACTTACCTGGCTTTCACACTGTGATCTGCTGGCTTTAGCTTCTATCTTTATCTTTTTAACCTGTTTTCACTGCTGAATCAGTTTGACATCCTGGATACATTCTTCAAACTCATATTGTAGACCCTTCTGTCTGCTTCTCTCTGAAATTGCATTTTTGTTTTTACATAAATTAGATATTTAAAATATTTCTTCAGGGAGTGCAGTTTGTGACAGTCTGGGCTCCATGTAGCTCTGACAGATTGACAGAGTTGGAGCGAGGGCTTAGAAAAAGGTCAATTGCTTGGAGACTTTTTTTCATATGGTTGAACAATAAAACCATTGTCGGAATTTGAGTTCTTTGAGTTTACTGCTTTTTACACCTAAGAAACAGACTGACTTGAATTCTGCTGACAACTACATCAGGGTGTCACATTTCTACAACACTGACAATGAATAACGAAGAGCCCTCGTTAAATAGCAACTTGACATTATGAAATACAAGAATACAGTCCACATTGACCAGGCCGCTCGGACTCTTACACCCCCTGGACAATCATTTACACATCCTTGCACAACTATACATGTTTAAAACAGACACTTTAATAAAAGACATATTTTTATGTTGATGAGCAATTTGCATATTTGTATTTTTAATGATGTCTTTACTCTGTCTATTGTTATGCACTAATCACCGAGTCAAGTTCCCTTTTTCAAGTAAACAAACTTGGTAATAAATCGTTTCGGATTCTGAGAGATTCAGACAAAGGAGAGTTGCAGACAGGATGTTATTGTAACACTCTTCCACATACCATTCGTACATCACCCTCATCATCTCCAAGTGGTTTTGATTGCTTCTGACAGAAATTAATACTATCACATGAGCTGATCTATACTCCCACAGACCTGCTTGACTTTGATTTCCGTTCAACATAATTATCATGGATTACATGGATCATGCTCAGAAAAAAATGTAAAACACTGATGCCACATCATGAAAAAAAAGTCTTGGAACTGTTCCTTTAATGGAGTTCATTGTCAAACATGCCACATACCAGTGAAAGTAAGGGGACCTCCCTTTCCCATGCACCCCTGTTGCCCCCTTTTGTGTGTGTGTGTGTGTGTGTGTGTGTGTGTGTGTGTGTGTGTGTGTGTGTGTGTGTGTGTGTGTGTGTGTGTGTGTGTGTGTGTGTGTGTGTGTGTGTGTGTGTGTGTGTGTGTGTGTGTGTGTGTGTGTGTGTGTATGTGTGTGTGTGAGAGAGAGTGTGACTGCCGGCAGAAGGGACTAAACAGGATTTTCAATGTGGAAGTTTGTTCCTCTTATCCAATAACAAAACACAAGATAAAATACATAGCTTTTTTCTCTTTTTCAAACGTATGCTGGATTAGCTGTTGAGAGAGGGGATCACCTAGCTATGGCTTACCGTCTGTATGAAGGAAAGGAACATGCTTCATCCTACTGGAGGTACAGGATCTCTCCATCAGATCATCTGATACAAAAAGTGCTTAACTTCCTGGAAAAACAGGTAGTGCACATGGAAAATGTATTTTAAAAAGGATATATTACCATTGTCATTGGATAATAGCAAAACTAACATTACAGGAATTTCATATAACATGCAAAGTATTTCGTCAGATGGGTCATCCCTTTGAGCTGGCAGTGGATGTCGGTTGCGGCTCAGGTCAGGGCACACTGCTGCTGGCTAAACACTTTGCCTCCGTGGTGGGGACAGATGTTAGTCCTGCCCAGCTGGAAATGGCTTTGCAGTATGCCAAAGAGCCAAACATCACTTATAGGTAAGTGTGGAGCAAATCATCTTTTTGTATAACTCAAATTACATCAATGCACTCTGAATGCAACTTGTGTCTCCTATTAGATAATTTATCTTTGCCATAATTGTTTCCCTGGCTAAAGAGTGTGAGATCAAGCAAGCCTAATAATGTAAATAATGTTAAGTTAAAATCAACAACTATACCATTAACATCACATCATTAGTTGCAGCTCTGACAATCTTGTAAGCTATTTCATTGAATCTAGGCCAAAGCAAGAACAATGTGACCCTTGTCTGGTGAAAGTCGGTCATGCAGTAAGGCCCAGACAATGGAAGAAATGTGCTGTCAGCACAGGACAGTGAAATCCTCTCAAGATATGTGGCTTGTCACACAAGGTTGGTGGGTACAGTATGTGGAGAAAAAAAATCTTCCTTTTAATTGATTTTAGAACTATTTTGCACATTTTTTTTTAAACTAAATGAAAGACCAACTTCCTAATGCAATTTACAACGTTATTTAACATTTCAATAGTAATGCTTTACATTTTGTTGCTGAAAATTGTATTGCTGCCACACATAAATTGGATCTTTTGTGCAGATTATAATGTGAAGGCAGCAAGTGAAACAGCATCATCTTGTGGATGTTTTTAGTCAATGAAGCTTTCCTGAGGGGCACAGTTATCTTATCAGTCAATTGCAATGCCAAATAGGCTCATCACTGACGGACAGCTGAATTTTAAAGAGGATAAAAAAAAAAGGTCTCGTGTCGATATGCAAGGTGACTTAAAATGAGCTTTGTTGGCTGTCGCAGAATGATTGATTTAGAATGATTGATTTGTAATTGATATGTCATTTGATACAAGATATGAATTGGATAGGAATAGGAATTGGATTCAAAATAATTTAAAAAGTGGTTACCTGCAAACCTTCTCCCTTTCATCCTACTGTCGGCAGTGGTCAGAAGTTTGATTCGGCTATACTGTTCTGTCTTTAGACAGTGTGTGGCCGAGGAGCTGCCGTTGGCTGACAGCTCAGTGGACTTGATGACGGCCATGTCTGCCTTCCACTGGTTTGACCGACCTCGCTTTCTCCAGGAGGCCCACAGAGTCCTGAAGCCCCGTGGCTGCTTGGCTCTGCTCAACTACACCATTGACATGCAGCTCAGCTACAATGACTGCTGCTCACATACACTCAACCAAGTCTGCAAAGAGGTGCTAACAAGAACATTCACCTGAGAGAAGTTATTGTAAATGTGCATGTAAGGCTGTTTGTAAATACAGCACAGGTGTCGCTAATAATATTAACAATGGCTCTGCCCTGGTCCCAAGTGTCCCAGTAATCCATGAAAGTGTGAACGTGAGCTAGTGTTAGCAATACCAGGACCCTGAAACTGCCATCATTCATTTTATTACTTACACCTGTGTTTTTTTCTACTGTGACATGTCTGCTGTGGAAAAGGCTTGCAATTGAGATGTATTATTTATCATAGAAAATACGAAAAAAACAGGTATTATATTTTTATATATTTCATAGAAATATACACACTTTTATACACTTTTTATGGTAGTGGAAAACACAGAGACAAAAGCATGTTAATACCGTTATTGTTTCTCCCCTTTGCATTAGCTGGGGTTTTGTACCAGAATCACCACCTGGCTCATCTGCCTGACTCATGAACTCAAAAGGAGAATCCTATTTTTTGCAGTTCTGCAGGTGTAGGAGACATACTCTCAGTCATCTTTATTAGACATGTCTTTCCAGAACAATTAATGGCCTTCAAGGAGAAGGCAAAAACCAGGCAGGACACGCACTGGTCAATTTTGAGATTTTGGGCTATTTTGCTTATATAACGTGTTCTTTCAGGCTAGTGGGAAGAAAACATCCAAAACGCACATTTAGGTGGTTGTTTAAATGCTTTGTCTATTTGCGTATTTAGATTTCTCTTATATTCACCAAAAGTTAGTATTAGATAATGCATTATTAGCATATCAAATTTTAGAAAACTTGTAACCCAAGTCATCTAGTCATCTGTAGTGTCTTCCAAAGTTGATCTTAGAATACATATCTTCAAAGGCTATTTCCTCAAAATTATTGAAATTTCAATACATTTCCAGTAGCTTGACACCAAACTTTCCAGTTTATTTCTTATCTATATCCATTCTACATTTTCAGAAAACTTGTGATCCAAAAAAAATAAATTTGTCCTAATGTAAGTAATCAACAAGTTTAATGGTGATATCTAAAAAAAGGTTCCCCCCTATGCTTCTGAGGTGTCTTACGTTAATCAAAAATGAACAACAGCATCATCTTGTGGGTGTTTTTAGTCAATGAAGCTTTCCAGAGGGGCACAGTTAGCAGTTAATTGCAATGTGGAATATAAATTGGTGTCAGACACCATTAAAATATTAATAATAACTAGCAAAAATATACACTATCTTTCAAACACATATAGCTGTGTACTAAAGGTATTGTTAAATAGCTTAAAACACATCAGAGAGGAAAACATATCCGGTTCATGGTATGCTGTATATATACATATATGCCGTTATTATTACAGTGGTGACAACCTCATGACTCCCTGTCTCTTGGTTTCACCAGTTTTATGCAGCCTTGCAGCCTTACCGCAGTGCCCACCTCGGTCCCAGCTCTATTGAGATTTACCGGAAGGCCTATGAATCCATCCCTTACCCTGACAAGGAGTGGTGAGAGCATGTTTTTCGTTTGGTCAATTTCTGCAAATCCCATCGCTGGTTTAGAAAAAAAAAACGTCAGTGAGTGATATGTATGTGAATGTGCAGTACACACATTGACTGTGTTGTTTTATGTGTTACAGGTACGAGTGCGTGTGGGTGGAAAGGCCTATGCCTCTGTCCAGTTACATGGGGTTGGTGGAGTCTTTCTCCAGCTATCAGGCGCTGCTGAAAGACGACATGCAGAAAGCCACCGCACTCTCTCAAGACATCCGTCAAAGGTAAAATGCATAATCATCCATACAGTACAGTATACACATGCGTCCATATCACACATGTTTGACAATGCTCTATAAAAATGATAAGCATTGCTGACCTATGAATTCATTTTTTTTACATTTATCTACATTCTGGAGCTAAACATCCTTTCAACAGATGACATTATTACACGGATGTTTAATGGGTCCGTAAAAACTGGCATATTGGAGAGGTAAGTGAAACTACACCCGCTGACTGAATGATGACACCTTGTCTCCCCAGGTTGATGTACATAATGAGGGTGACCTCTGTGGAGACGGAGGTGGTGGTGGCTGTGAAGTATTTTTACCTCCTGGCCTGCAAACCGCAGGAAGCCTGACTCCTGCCAGTGCTCGCATTTTCAACGAAGTCATGAAGAACCTTACGCTACCCCCCAGTCTTTTCTCAACTTTTCTGAGTGAAAGTTTTCTCCTAGACATCTATATACAGGACAAGTTAGTTTGTTAGATGTTTGCTACACATGTAAAAGCTCTGTTTTTGCCCACAAATGCCAATTGTTTTAAAGGAATTGCTTGAAACTTTTGGTAATACTACTATTCACTTTCATGAGAGTGGAATACATTTTGTCATCTAACTCTCGGCTTTCTTAAACTATTGCTTTTGAATTACACCAAGGGAGGTTCTACAGGTGATCAGCTGTTTCTTAAAAAAACAACATGCACACACATTTTATTTGAACATTTAGTGATTTGCGAAAGTACACAGATGATCTTTGTGTGAAGCCTTCTTATGCATTAGCAACACTTGAATATCGTAAATAATCTACTCGTAATGGTTCACTTTCTATGGCTCTCCCCCTGTGAACGAAGTATAGAAGAGAAGTATTTGAGAGGTTGTACCATGTACCACTAGAGGGAGACATGGGATCAAAAGTGATGATTGGCACTGTCTTCATGTGAGACACCAAAATATATATATATAACTCTCTATATATATACAGTATATATATTATATACATATATAGTTATATATATATAGTGTCAGAGCTGAGACACGTCTGCTCCTTTCTGCACCAGTGAAAAGTCAGACAGAGAATGACTCTCATCATTCTGAGACATCTTCAGACTCTCTTGCCAAGCTTGAAGGTCTCCTTGAACCTCAGCTGCTTTATAGTCAGCCTTGAGTTTATATTTTTTAAGGCTGATTCCTAAGAGTCTTGCCATCTTGAAACACCTGACTGAGGCTACCTTTGCACCAGCAGTCTAAATGTTTGCTGATCAATCTATGTTAAGCTGCTCTCGAAAGGGAACCGTATTTAATTAATGCGCTTCATCAAAGTAGCCTGCATGTCCATAAGCATTATACACAAGGATAACCGGAGCACAGAGAAGCCACCATCACCAAATGACACACAGGCTAATAGACTGGAGGGTCAGCTGCCTGCAGCTCCCTCCTTGCATCTTTCCGAACAAAAAAGCTTGCGAATGCGGGTACAATTTGAATCGTGACTATGTGCCGTGCCCGTGATTATTTTTCTTTTTGTAGTTTTCGCTTATGCACAACCTCTTACCTGATACATTTTGAACTGATATGACAACGAATTTGCCGGCAACGCATCATTTTGGACTACTCGGCTGTGATTTTGAGAAGGCACTTACCCGATGGCAATAGTTTTTCATTATACATACAAACTGGATATAACAGCTATTTTTGTAACTGTTTGCATCTCTTTCAGTAAATAATATATATTTGTCTTTTAGTCATTTGCTGCCAATTGACTGATGCCCCGGGATAAACCTGTGGATAAACCGGCCTTGCTATAATCTAGCAGGGGACCGCTACCACTAACCCCCTTCTCTGTTTGCTGGAATACACCAGAGAGTGGAAACATCCAAGAACACGTTCACTGACCTTCAGTATCTCTGTATTAAAAGAAAAAGTCCCACTGGCTGACTCATGCTTCCTTACAAGTCTCACAGACTTTGTCATTAGTCGTGTTTGTGATGCTTGTCACGGTTCTCACATCTCTGTGGAAAATGCTCTCAGCAACTTTTTTCTACCACTGGCAGATCTGCTCTGACAGAATCCTGCACTTGTTTTTTTTCTTTACTCACATTCCTACAAACACCAAACATCCCAGATGCCCTAACTTGTGAGGGCTGGCCTTATTTAGGTGTTTGAATCTCAGTCTGTGCTGAAGACATTTGTTACGGACAGAAAGTGTAGCGCAGTGTAGAAGTGTTCAGCCTTCAGTTGTGCTATGCCGGTAGCCGCCGGCGTGACTTGAGGCTGTGGTCCAACTGATCGATGCAGGTTTTGTGAGCGGACACATTTGAATGGTCTGCACCTGGTACCACAGTGACGGCAAGTTGTACGTTTTTATATTCTAGCCTTGAGCTATTTCAGCATCCGACTTTGGCCTCCCTCTGCCGTAAAGCCTTTGTAGTCACACCACACAGTCCTACTGTAAGTGTGTGTATGTGTGAGCTTATTTCTCTGTGAAATAGAAAGTATCATTGATCAAAAGAAGGTGAATCACAATGTTAATCACTATGTGTTTGATTCTTGAGTCATAACATATTTTGAAGGGCATTTTTTATGCAGCGGAATTATTCCAGCATTTACGGCGCTTGTTCAGCGGTGCAGGAAAAACACCAACCAATGCGTTGTGAATCATGTCAGGTGATGCAGCTCAGCCAATCAAATATGGGTATTCTGACAAGTTTCCTGACTTGAGTGAGATGTACACAAACCAGGGGTACTTCTCAAGTCTCTTAATTGTCGTTTCCTCGCTCCTTGCATGGTTTCCTCCATGCATGGTTTCCTCCATGCATCCCTTGGATGGACTAAGACGCAAGTGAGGGAAACGGGGATGCAATTAAGAGACTTGAGAAGTACCCCGTGACACACGGGGGAGAGACAAGGATATAGAACGCAGAGCAGGACTGTTGTAGTGAGAGTTGTGAAAGTCAAATCATAGGACGATTACCAAAAGAGAAAAATGTCCAGAGAGACCAGAGTCATTAGACTCTGACTGGACAGACTCATAAAAGTGAATTATTCCAACACTAATTTCTTTTTTTAGAAGATGAAAAAAATATTATATTGTGGCTTTTTCACTTCACCCTGAATGAACTGAATTTAAAGCTGCAGATCATTTCAGTGAAAATAATTTTTCTAAAATGAATTTCGTTGCGTAATTTATTTTCGAATCCAGCCTTTATTTTACTTGAAATGAGAAGAACATTTATTCATGTATTTCTATGTATTATTTATAATCCATACAGTTAAATTTGAAAAATAAGAATAATATTTGTTAAAATATAATTGATGTGTACTTTCCTTATTTGATTTGGCAGTTGTTTACTACACAGAGACGTTACTACTACTAGACTTCTTGAATATAGATATACCCAAATTATATATATATATATAATTTGGGTCGTGGGTCGTGGCTTGTCATTAAGGGGTGATGGTGGGTCCCGCAGCCAGACCAGTTGAGAACCACTGCTGAAGAGTGCTGCAGGGATCATGTATTTTTGTCGGGCAGCCCCGGAAGTTCGCGTCACACTGGTTCCAGTGGTTCAACAAAAACTATTACTAAATTATTGCAGAAAATAAGCTCTGTGGCAAACTCAAGTATTTGCATTCGGCAGATGTGAAAAGCTAACGTCAGGCACCCCAGCATCACTCTATACGCAACAGGCCCAAAAACAAACATGGCACCATCTGGTGAATCCGAGACTTCTTCTCTATCTGTTGTTGCAGCTGTATGAGCACAAAGTTCCTCTCAGATCTCTTACGAACATGGTGCTATTATTGATGGAAAACCTCTCCATCCTGTGAAATGCGATCTCTTCTCCCCACACGCTCAGCTTTAAGTGAAATGTCGTTATTGATCTATTTTTGAAATACGTCTTTTCATCATATCATCCTTCCTTCTATAATACAGGACATCAGTGTCTGCCACAGACTTCGCTTTTATACACACAACACACACACACACACACACCTTTGGCCATCATCCTTATAGGTAGAGTATTCATCTACATGCAATATTATGAAAGGGATACTTCAGGAGTCACTCACAACCTAAAGTCCACCCCAAAGGACTATCACACAAAACTACTTTTCAAGCCTCATGTTTGAATAAACAAATATGAGTTACAACTCATTTGCATACTCATTTGTATTAGTCATGAGAAACACCTTTCTTCATCCTCCCATATTCAAATCAAAGTGTCCGTGTGTGTGTGTGTGTGTATGTGTCTAAAAGAGAAAGAGAGAGAGAGAGAGAGAGAGAGAAAGAATTTCCATAATTTTTTTCTGTGACAGGAGACTCACAAGTTAGCCATTAGCTTCTGTATGACATGCACTAGGCTTTCAGGAAACTACAACGTAAAATCATTTGCGTCATCATTAGACGTTGCAGAGAAAAGGCTTCAGGATTGTTATGACGAAGTTTAAAGTCCAGACAAGGACACAGGACATTTAAACCAGGAGACCGGTGTGCGTGTTTCAGTGTTTGTGATGCATTTTCCGTGCTTATGTTACATTGTTTTCGCGTTACTTGGTTTACTTACTTATTTTAAGCCCAACTACTTCTCCTAACTAAGTGGTTTTGCCGCCTGAACATGACCGAGTGTTTTTGCTTGACTTCACGACGTTAACCGTGTGTTTACTGCGACCGTGCTCGTGCGGCTACCCAGTGCGTTACAAAGTGATGCCAAGTTGTCTGAGAAAGCGCCAGCATGTGACAAGTGGGAACGAGAACGTGTTGCAAACACGTGCAGCGTGAGTCAGACCGACTTCAGAGCTGTTCTGTCAAACGGTGAGCACTTCTGGCGTGTCTGCTGCGCAGATGTTCCCATCCCTCTGGATCAGGGGAAAGACATTTGTTAATTAAACCATTTGTCTAACTAACTGAATTGGTAGAAGGATGTTGTACTCACACAATTTGTGCATTAATAATATTCATTTTCAATAAAAATGTTTCCACTTTTTGGAGTGTACTGTGTTCCTCCATAACAAGAGGCATCAAGAGGTACAAAGGAGGGGGGGGAATTCCTCCCATGATTCAATACATGAGTCATGTGGTAATATAAGCTTTTTTTGAGCCTATGACTCTTTGTACTTGCACACAACACGCATTACATCAGATGTCGACATGCCGGAGGACAGTACCACAATGTATTGCCACCAACTTTTTGTCTGCGTCAGTGCCCTTTTTCTATTAAGTTACACACTCTATTTCTGAGTCTCTAATGGTAAATTTATATCTAATGGAACCCCGAGGGAAAAACGTCTGTTACTGTAGGAACGGCTGTCCTGCAATGTGTTCGTAGTGGCTGTAAATGTCTTTTTCTAACACGACAAATTGGCGCTTGGTAGATGTTAACCTGAAATAGAGAATCAGACTGAATTAGAGACTCACACTTCTCAGACTGCTGCAGTAACTGCTGCAGTACATTTAACTCAAATTTAATTTAAATGCTCAATAAAAAGTTAGATGCATAACTTAACGTAAAAAAAGATCGTTTTAGATCTTGCGCTCTTGCACATAAGTAATTTGCTTTCTCCGATTCATTTCAAATTGAGTATCCTGACTTTCTTAACAGCTTATAGTGCAGCAGAAGTAAAGCAAACACGCAGCATAAAATAGGATTTGTGACATGTGCATTAGTCATATTGTTGCAGAGTTTTGTTTTCCCCTTAAACTGAGTAGACACTACACTCACATCTAGGTCATGTGGTCCAGCAGGGAGAGCAAAGCCCCCAGTGTAACACTTTGTTTTTACATGATTAAGATCAGAGCCACTGGGGCTACTGCCACTGCAGTCACAGTCTGATTTAAATGATGGGCAGATCTCAGTTTAATGTACAAGCAGAGAAACTGGTGGTAGGCTATAACACTCATTATTTAAGAAAATAGGAGCGTTGTAAGTGACAGAGGTGACAGCTCAATTCTTTGTGGAAGTTAAAAGAAAAACATTCTCAGTTGAGCTAGGTCCCAGAATCCTTTGGTCCAGACTCAAATATCTCAACAACGATTGGATGGTTTATATAAAGATTCATGGTGCCCTGAGGACGAATCCTCCTGATGTTGGTGTTCCCCTGAGCTTTAAAGCTACTACAAGAAACTTTAATTTTGTGTTGAATCTGGTGGCCCCTGTGGATGAAAGTGGTAGTGCGGTCCCTGACGATGAAATTGGTAGTGCGGTCCCTGTGGATGAAAGTTGTAGTGCGGTCCCTGACCATGAAAGTGGTAGTGCGGTCCCTGTGGATGAAAGTTGTAGTGCGGTCCCTGACGATGAAAGTGGTAGTGCGGTCCCTGTGGACGAAAGTTGTAGTGCAGTCCCTCATGATGAAAGTTGTAGTGCAGTCCCTGACGATGAAAGCTGTAGTACGGTCACTGTGGATGAAAGTTGTAGTGTTTCCGACCACCAGATTCCCTTTAGAACACCTTTAATTTTACTTCAGCATGGTCTGAGAGTCTGCCCCACGCATTGCTGGTTCTCCCGTTCCTCCCAGCAATCCGGCCTTGGTTTCTAGCAGTGTTTTCCAGCGAGGCGAGAAGACATTGCTGCCGGGCGCTGAGCTCTCCACCTCTCGCTGGGACTCCAGTTCGAAGGCGGCAGCGAAGCTGGATCCGGGTCTGTCCGCGACGGGCTGGCCAATGGCTGAGGCCGCGCTGGAGTCTGAGCTGAAGGAGTTTTTGATGAACCTGCATGATTTCATCTGACTTTGGGCGGAATCCAAACCGATGACAGGCATTAAGAGGAACTATATTTAAATAGCCAGACCTCTTGCTGATGGTCTTATGATACTTATGTAGGTCATGTAGAGGCATCACTTTAAAATTGAGACTATTTCATAATCAGTTAAGCTCCTCATAGTAACTTTAATCCAGAGCCATCTTTAGGTTGAAATTTTAATTTGTCCAGTACTTTGGTTTGACGAAATACCTGCAAACTTGATGACATTCCCATCAACCCCAGATTGTTTTTGTGTTGTACAATAAATATTGCACGACCTGTTCAGTGCATAATTAACTGAAACATCACTGAAATAAACTAATCTCAGTCATGGGCGTGAGGTGAGACCAGTTTATTGCCCTCGAGATGACCCAAACCCTGGATTGTTCGCAACAGAGCAGCAGGAGACGAATCCTAATATTTTTGTATCCGGCACGCAAACAACAGATGTCTTTTTTGAGTTGAGCTGAACATTTTCCAAGTCACTGTTGTTCTGCAGACATCAAAGTTAAAAGCTAAATTAGCGGTAGGACCTGAAGGGATGGGTTGGATTTGTGTGGGCTATGAAGGGAGGGAGAGGTGGGGTGATTTGGCAGTTATGAGATTACATTCCTGTACGTTGTTGCATTATTCCACCTGAGGGCTGTTGTGTTATGAAACCAGTAAAGATAATGTTGAAAAAAATAAAGTCTGAAGCTCAGTTAACATTTCAGTTTTCAAAAACTGTCGTAAAAAATAAACAGAATTCTGGAATTACTTAGGGGACATCCGCATCATTTAATTACGACCTTCGGTTAGAGAAGCACAACAAACTTTTCTTATCCCCCTCTTTACATCGTTGTTGAGCTCTGAGACTTAGAAGTGACAGGAATATTTTATTTCAAAGTGAATGCCTTCATCTTCTGTACTGAATTGTCTCTTCAATGGGTCGTCTGAGGAGAGGGTGGAGAGTTTCATTTGTTGGAATCTTCAGTGAGTTCAGAAAAGAGTCCTCCCTCTCTAGAATTCTTTTTATTTATTTTTTTAAAATTTTTTTTCTCTTCTTTCCTTTTTATTTTTAATTTTTTAATTTTATTTATTCTTGATCCCTTCTCTGACCTTCTGTTCTCAATCTCTTCCTCCTGACAAGGCTTCACCTCTCCTCGCTTAAAGCTACAGTTAGTAACTTTTATAAAACTGTGACCCGGATGTCATGTGTAAGACACTAGAGCCAAAACAAAGCACCTCCCAGCTAAACAGCTAAACGGTGCACTAAAATGTGTTTTTTGAAAACATTTGAGGCAAGAAAAAGCCAATGCCGTAGCAAAAATCTAAATTCATATTTGATCAGTGACAATTTGATCGGAGTTCATGAGCTTCAGAGCAGTGATTGACAGCTGCGTTCGAGACTTCTCAGCTCTGATTCGTTGTTTTCCTTAAGACGCCGTGGAATCTTGCAAATTAGGAGCACTAAAAGGAGGCAGAGAAACCTGATTTTTCACAGCCTTGTCGGGATACTACTGTCAGGATATAGTGACAATTTATATAGTGACAATTTGAGCAAACATGAACAAAAACTTATTTTTATCAAGGTTACCAACTGTAGCTTTTGTGCTGATTTTTATCTTTTCATTGTTTGGATGTCAATCTGCATAATGTTTTTCAGTATTCAGGTGATAAAAGTGTTTTTTGGTAGTTTTCTTCCATTTTGTTACAACTCTACAACATAGTAGTATCACTCCCATTAATAAGTACAGATGTATGCTTTGTCCTCAGTCGGCACCATTGAATAACAAAAGCATTGTGTGAAGCACACCATGCGAAGAGGGGTGAGTTTGGTACTTACTTTGGTATCTGCATCGCAGAAAGCCTGATGGCCAACATCTGTCTAAACAGATTTAGATGAAATACAATATAATCATCTGCTCCAAGATTAATAGACTCCTTTCTTTAAAAAGCTTTATCTAACCAGGCAGCTCAGTCGAGAGCATGTTCTTGTTTACAGTGACAGCCCTCATGCCCCTGGGTCCGTAACAACTGGCTGAGTGAATCACAGCTTTGTCCAGATACTTTAGGGTGAAATGGGTTCGCTCCAAAGCGAATGAGCTGTTCTGTCAAACAGTGAGTCTCAGCTTTCCATTTTGCAAATGGTGCTCTGCTCAGGGCATGTGTACTGTATGTGTGTGTGTGTGTGTGTGTGTGTGTGTGTGTCTGTATGTTTTATGTTTTTCAAATGTGCTGTGTTATTGTGAAGTTTAGCAGATGTCATCAACCAGTTAAATTTGGGGGTAATTAAGACAGCAAAAATACATCAATGAATAAATAAATAAATCATATCCAATAGTAAAGAAAATGAATATAAAGTATAAAAATGCTGCTAGCTAGTATCATCATCTTGAACCCTAACAGTTGGTCAGAATATAACACCCACAAATAATAAGACTGTTATAATATAGATGCTGCTTCTTATTCCGCAAATATATTCTCTCATCTCATCTGATTATAGAGAGCTCATTTTGAACTTTGGTTAAAAAAACAAACAGTTGGCTATATGAGGAAAAGATGGGAAGGGAAGGGGATTTATCTATTCTGGGCTATGTGCTAATGAACAGGGTTTTCTAGCGTATTAATAAGAAATGAATAACATAAATAATCATATTTATGCATTCTATAACACGACAGCAAAAAATTCCATTCAGTACCGACAGATTCAGCGACTGTATTTCCATTTTCATACCTACAAGAACCGACTCGAACTCGTCCTCTGCTCTTGCGGAACTGTTTATCTGCCGCCATGTCTACACGGATAACAATAACAAACGGCCCGTACTGCGCTTCCGTTGCCCATGACACCGGAGCGAAGTTCTGACAGCTGATTCTCCAATCAGTTTATATCCACTCCGAGCCCCCGAAATAATCACATTTGAAGTTATTTACAGTCGGACGTGCCTCCTATAACCTCCGGCTGGGGTTGCAGACAGCGCCTTGAACAGAGGAGGGCGGCTGATTATGGTGTAGCACGGAGCGCTAGCTCTGAGAAAGCAGGTAAAAAAGGCAACACACAAGCTAACACTGGCTAGCAGAGATAGTTCATTAACAACTTGCGTGCGCCTTTCACTAATTAAAACGAGTGACATTTATTCTTGCACTCAAGCACATGCGCAAGGAATAAGCCAGAGCTGAGACTAGTTTTAAGCTCGAACATTGCATCTAGCTAGCTGTGATTAGCGGTGTTAGCCGCTTGTTATGACCACTGGTTAACAAGTTAAAAGTACAGTGACGAGGCGGTAACTTAACTTCTGAAAGTGTTTACGTTACATTAGCATTAATCTTGGTTTCAGTTCGAGAGGTTTTGTCTCGAGGGAGACGCACTTCCTTGTGTTTGATACCAAGTTAGCTGGACTCATTTAGTCCCAAACATCAAAGACAGACTACACCCCTTTCTGTGAATTTACTCCATAATCTACCAATTTAAAGTAAAGACGATATATTTTCCATCAGTGCAGGTGTGTGTTTATCTGCTAGCTAGTTGTGTTAACCTGTGTGCAGTGGTCCCCCCCGCATATGCTGCATGACTTTGTCCCTACTGCGTTATTATGAATCCACCCCATGCAGCTGTTCGACTAACATCCAGGTAGTCCGTGTGAGTGAGCAACCTTAGGGTGCAGTGACTGACAGTCGAGGCAGGTGGGCACTGAGTCCGACTGGGTGACAATGATACCCGATACCTTCTGCTATTGCTGCTCCCCAAATGAGCTCACACTGAACACGCTCCCCTAGAGAGGTTAACAATCCCCTGCACCCCCTGCAGAGTTGTACTACTAGTAAAGGAGTAACAGTGGGCTTTAGCAGAAAACTAGTGGGAGCAGAACAATTTCCAAAACAACAGAAGGGATCAGCTGAGACTGAGTTCTGTTACCTTTAGTCAGCGATGCGAGCATGTTATCAAGGGTGGGCTGTGTGGATGATGCTTTACCGGGAGAGGTGATGTTTTTTTTGGGAAGTTGCTTAGAATATTTTCAGATGTCATAATGTATTCTGTTTGTTTGTTAAAGTGTGCAAAACATCACTTCCTAATTGTAAACATTTTAGAATAATTCAGTTTTTAGGTCATTTGATAATATATGGATACGTATTTTGAAACGTTCTCTTTGTGCATATACACAATGAATGCACAAGAAGAAAACACTCCCAGGGGAATAAGTAAACAACAGCAAAGGCAGAGACCGACTCATGCGTCACTAGTTACAGTGAGACGTGTTTACAAAGAGCGAATGCTTTGACCTCTGAGTTTAACACCGTCGTGCCATAGATATCGGCTTCCTGCTGTGGCATTCAGAGAGACGTTGGCAGGAGCATGACGTTGAAGTGAGTCTGTTAAATATCATTCAGCAAGTCAAAAGGCCGTTCGTGCTATCAGCTGATTGGTGATGCTTGTCTCTGTAGGCTCCCCTCTGTCTGGTACAATCACCTTTTCTTAGATAATTAAAACAGTGTGCCATCGTTAAGTTACTTCTTATCATGTTGATATGAACTTCTGAGTTCCACGTTCGGCGTGCAACGGTCCTATTACTGAATAACCATGGAAACCACAGCAGTAAAGGTATAGTCATGAATGTTAAGAGCAGATGGACAGGATTCCACTCCTTCGGATTATACGGCATACATTTAATTTCTCGTAGAGAGTAGGTATTTGTGTTTAGAAACGTTCAAGAGATTTACGCCAGTTTCAGGCATTCTCCTACAACAAGACTCAACACTTGTGCTCGACAGCTTGTGGCCCCACATGTCTTATCACAACAGAGAGTCTAAACTCCATTATTCCACTGGAATGGAATGGTGTCATAGTTGTTAGTTTATTTCTATAGGAAGTATAGGAGGCACTTGACTTAACTAGCACTCGCATGATGTGAAAAGATCTCAAGGTCTGTCATTTCTGAGCAGAACTGAGCTTTGGCCTTCGATAGAAAGTAACTTGAAAGGTCCTCATCGGTATTGTTTTTCACTTATTCAGCCTATTTATTACGTATATCCACTTGTTGTGGAGTGTTGTGTGTGTGGTGTGGGGCTGGAGCCTATTCCAACTCATTGGACCCGAACAGGTCGGCGGTCTATCACAGGACTGAAACATCTAGACAGACTGTCATTCACATTCACAATCGGCGATCGATTTTAAAGTTGCCAGTTCACCTCTCGTGCGTCTTTTGGCCTGTGAGAGGAAACCGGTGTGACTTTATATTTGAATATTATAAGCACTTTTTTTCTCCCCCCTCTATTCTATATTGTCTCATTTCTTCTTCACGGTCTGTGTGATTGTCAGGCTTATTGAGCAGCGTAGCGCTCCAGGCGTGGGGTAGACCGAGGCAGATCACAGCAGCCATGCTTACGTTGGCCAGTAAGCTGAAGAGGGACGACGGGGGAAAGACGAGCCGTGCCTCGGGAGCCTCCGACTCCGCCCACAGGGTCTCCATCAGGGACCGCCTCCTTACCAAAGGTACCCAGGTCGCCGTCCGCTTCGTCCATCACTTTGTCAGCTTGCATCGCTTTCTTTTATACAAACTCATGACGAGCTAAATACTTATAGACAGACACTATAGGCCCTAACAAAGTTGTTTCTTAACTGTTTTGTGGTTTATTTCAATACAGAAATATAAATTCATGCTCCGCTTCCTCCACGGATGTTTGGACTTCTCCTTTTGTTTCTTTTTTCTGTTTCTACCTCTGTCTCTTTATTCCTCTTCTTTCTCTCTGACCATGTTTCTGCCTGGGTTTTATTTATCGGTACTTCTCTCGCTGCCTTGAGATGCAGCTTCCAGGCACCTGTCTCCTCTCTCCTCCTCTAAATTTCAAGCGGCTGTCTACCTTGTGCCGGCTACCATTTCCCATCATGTTTTTACCTCTCTGGGTTCTCACCTGTCTTTGCTTTAGTCCATACATATACTTGATGGCATTATTATACCCAATCACTATGACCGGTGAAACGAAGGCTATAATTTGGTGTAGAGTAGATTCAAAAGTGGTTTGTCCAATGCTGGTCCAATATCATATAGAGTTCTATATAAGTGTGGGTGGATGTAATCTCACAAGCACCTGTCTAATGCCCTCTAGTACGACATTAGAGGGACTTGCTTTTCTGTCTCTCTTAGCTTAACTTTGTAAAACAAAATGTAGCAAATAAATAGATGCATATAAATGTATTTAATTATTTATTATTAAAATAATATATCTTACACCAACCTTTTTAATGTAGCAACAAATTGGTCAAAACTGAAACAGAAATTAAAATTCCGTATAGTGTACTATATAGTAATGTATGTAGTACATGGAGTTGAACTGAATGCCCGATGTTGCTATTGGTGCATCCCCGGTACCGATCATTACTCTTCAAAGAGCTTCAGTGGCCATGCAAAATAACTAAATGTGAGAAAAGTAATGCAGTGCTTGTCTAATAACACATATATTACTGGGAAAACTAAAGCGGTCGATATCACTGTGAGGCACACCAGTGTTAACGCTACACAGCTGAGAACCACTGAAACAATCTCTTAATGATCTGAATGCATGACAATGTTTGTAAAAATAACATTGGTAAATCCTCAGCATTCACACAAGCAACAACAGAGAGACCAAGCACGTCCCCGTCCCCCCCTTTGTCTTTTTTTGTTAAGTGTTGAAGTGTTAAACCAGCTGATGCATAAACACGTTGAAAGGAGTGTCGGTGGTGTGAAAACACAACAAGAGAACCTGTGAGTGTTTAAAAAACAAATCCAACCAGACTTGATGCAGAGGCAACACCCTCTGCTCCTCACTTGTCGTTTCCTTCCTCTCTTTTTGTTTTTTCCTCCCCCCTTCTGTTACCAGCCAATCACTGTTGTTCCTCTGCAGCATTGTGTTGTGTCACGCATTTTACAACTTGCATATTAGACGTTATGCTTTTATGCAGAGCAAATGTCCTGACAGTGTCAGCTGTCGGTGTGTGTATGTGTGTGTGTGCGTGCGCGTGTGCGCGTGGCTCTCTGTATTTACCATCTTCTCTCCTCCCTTATTCATGACTCTTTTTCTTTTTCTCTCAATAGAAGTTGCAGAACTTGAAGCCAATCTCCCTAGTGAGTATGCTTTCCACTTCCACACACACCGCTCTCAGTTCAGTCAGACTCCCTCTGACTTTGCATTCCTCCCCATGTTTGCATTAGTGTTTGTTCAGCAGCCCCACATCTGAAAGTGTGAGAGCTGAATAACTGACTTAAAGGGACAGAAATATTAAATAAACAGCCGACGTAAAGTAAATAGTGTCCTCCAAGTTCTTAAATCTTCTCAACTCAGGAAAAAAACAAACATTCTTTATGTTACGATATCAATTAATGAGGATTAAGGTGGCTTGATGTATTGTTTCAGACTTGGTTGATCATTATTAATACATTTTGTGTTTTGGGATATTAAAACAATTCTGCAAATGTTTCAGATAAGGCACAAAGACAAAACCAACCCCACAGATGCACTCCATTTTCTAACATTTTGCTTTAATGCTTTTAGGTGTAGGTCATTTCTAACAGTACTTTAAACTGCATTGCAGTGGCATAAAGCTATTCAGTCAGAATAGGATTATTTTTTTCACCGTAAATGTCTCAAAACAGTTAATTCTGTTTATGAATGAATAGATCTGATACTGTTTTGAAATCAAGAGTATTTAATGAAGTATTTATTTAACCAGATCGTCCAGCACACCCACATAAATGAGTGAAATGAGCCTGGTTATTGTCATGCATGTTGAATGAGGATGTGCACCACTTAAGAAAAGCATCCTGCTCTCCTTGACTGTAATGCTCATCCCGATCCGTTCTCCATTACCAGCAATAGTGATGAAATATGGTCCTGTGGAAAGTATTGATTTTCATGAGGCTTCAACACTTGTGCTTTGTGCCGTGGATGTGGACTTGCCGTACGACACTGAAGGACTTTCACCGTTCTGGGCAGACAGGAGCTCAGGAAAAATAAAAGAAAGAAGCTGTTTTCTAGAGTCTTCTCTGAGTGAGCAGTGGTGCTTTCAAAACACAGAGAACAAACCAACGACTTGTCTGAACATATTTGTTCAAGCGATTTTGAGAAGATTTTACGCATATAGCGTTTTTCTTCTCCGCACCAGGGTCTTTTGTTTACAATTGTTCCAAATGAGGAGAATATGCGGCCGCTCGCTCTTGCATAGAGAAAAAGCTCTGCACCCAGCCTCTTTTCTCAGAGCGCTCCAACTTCTTTGAGCGGCTGCTCCGAGCTGTCCAAGCTGAACGTCTCTGAACCTTTCAGAAAGGTGCTGGTGTAGTCAGGGTTCACTCTATATGGACACTAAGACTGGACGAGTGTTACAGACCTGTCATAGGAGTCATGTACAGATAGTCGGTCCTTTTCCACTGCAGAAGAAGAGGCCTTAAGCTAAATGAGTTTGGAGTTTAAGCATGTCTATGTTGCAGAAAAAACAGTATCTAAATCAAATAAACATTGATATTCTGCTATAATATCATCCCTCCTACATTACCACAGACCTTGACACATCAACACATACACACATTCTTTTACTTTGATTTTTAATTCATGCTTTAAATCCTGCATAATGCTATTTGATACGGCTGATGATTGCTGGGGAACGTGATAATCTTTCAGCTGTGATAAAATGATCTTCAGCTGCTTGTAGAGTGCTGTGTTTTACTGCCCGACTAAAAAGTGGATTCACTTTTTCATTCAGTGTTTTCTGCGCATTCATTACACTCATCGCCACAAACAATATGTTATACACACACACAGCGTTCTGGGGGGTTACTCGGTGAAAGGAGCTGATGCGATAAGTTTGATTGAAAACTTCTTACACATGAACATGGTTTAAAAACAAAAAGCTCTCCCATCTTGAGCGCAGTACACGTCCTTGAACACCAGGGGGGAATGTGGTGCCACACGGAGTCCCAAGGCATAAATCCTGCAGTCTGTGTGAACACACTGAGGCTCAGGAAGGATTTAATACAGATACAATATATCACTGATGTTAATGCCACTTTTTGACACACAGTCAAGTAATCAAAACTAATGCTAGACCTTCACACAGCTGCTCCTGGCTTTCACCTTTGACCCTAATAACTAACACCCCTCCCCTTATTTGTTCTCGTCCAGGTACATGCAAAGCCAGTTTCCCAGATGAGGACAAGCTGCATCATTTTCAGCTGGCAGTGTCTCCCGGTAAGAGAAAAATCACCTCTTTTTCTAACTGCTTCAATCATTTCATAACTGCTCTGTTGACGGCATGCAGCAGCGTTGTTGGTTGCTCATTATATCGGCGGGCTCTGAATTTGATGTTGTCTTAGAATCAAACGCATTTTCAATCAGACTTAAATATCTGAAGAAAAAGGTGAGCACCGATCAAGTCTGCTGGTGAAGAGTTTTTAATTAGGGTTGCGATTTAATTAACCCCCATATCAAAGCTCAGGAAAAGTGCAGGATGGAAACGGGTCCAGAAACCACCTTAAACTTGCTGTGTGTTATTAGACTGCAAATCGACTGCATGTCATGAATAATGACTCATAACAGGCTGAGACAGGAGTGTACAAAAGCCCCCTTTGAGCGCTCTCAGACGGCCGGCTTATTTCTGCGGGATCACTGTCTGGACTTAATGAACTGAAAAAGTACACTGAGTCGGATACAAGCACAGCAGTTTTAACAGCTTTCGACCTATTAATGAGGGAAAAACACCTGCGCTGATGTGCCTACGTGTTGATTAGCATTCATTAATTGTAGATCAATTATAAGATCGCTTCCTGAATGGATTTCATTACCAGCAGATGGATTTGTTAGTATTCTAGCTTTTGAAGAATCCTGTGGTCGGTTAATAATAAAACTTTTTCAAGCTGCCTCGGTCGCGGTTGTTTTGGGACGCACCGGCGTTGGATCGACAGCTTTCCCATCAGCCCAAACGAACCGTACTAACCCGAGTTTCTTTTTTTTACCAAACCGAAAAGGTTAAATGTGAAAGCACTCTGAGCCGCCAACAGCCATATCCACTGCTTTCTCATTTCGTACAAGATGCAGGGTTTGAGTGGTTTCGGGGGAAGTATGTTGTGTGCGATGTGGTGGGAGACCGCACATGTTGGTTGGTCCATGTGTGTCTTGAAGTGTTCTCTTGAAACGGGCACTCCAGTCCTCCGTACTTCGACTGCCACACCGTCGTTATTCCCCGAGTGCAGTCTGCTTGCTCAGCAGTGTTCCACGCAAAATGGGCCACCCGTGGAATACTGGACACACCCAGCACGCTGGTGTGGGATTACCACGAGTCTCCAGAGTCTCCTCTTACCTGCTCTGTGTTCGTCAGACACACTCTCTCTCTCTCCGTCCTCGAGCCCAATGTTACCTTCTCACTTCAAGGAGGACACAAGCCGCACAAGAGACTGAGACAAACATGTCTCTGTGTTTGTGTGTGAGCGAAGTGAGCAATGGAAAGAGAGGGACAAAGAAAGAGACCGGTAATAGAGTCACACGTTATTGTCAAACACTTTTTGGACCATAATCAGACACCTGACACATTGTTGACTAATCTCAAATGAATTCATCTAAATCTAGTTTGTAAATTTTGGCAACATTGTACCAGACTATCTGAACCACTTTATTTGGAGGTACAACTGAAAGTGATAATCCTGTTAGTAATCCCTTGTAACAACAGAAATGTGTGCGCACAACTCTGTGTGTGGGGGGGGGGGTTTATCCTTCAATCAGAAGATCGGCGGTCAGACCCCCGGCTCCTCCAGTCCATGTCGATGTGTCCTTGGACGAGACACTTGACCCCAAATTGCTCACGTAGGAGCGCTTTGAGTGGTCGTAAGACTAGAAAGGAGCTATACAAGTAGGAGTCCATTTTCAATTAAATTCAGGCCAATACAGCAATAAAAGTAATGCACTGTTTGTACATATCCCACAAAATATATTTTTTAAATTTATTCCACTTAATCACAAAACAAGGAAGTGTAATGACTGACAAAACGCTGCACTTTAGTCCAGGAGACCAGCAGTCACAACATCGATTCATTTGTAACGCCACTTCTGCAGTTATTTTGAACCCAAGCCACGATTTTTTCCGAAACCTAAACGAGTAGTTTTGTCGCCTAAACCTAAAAACTAAGTTGTTCCCTGAGACGAAGGAAGTTTATTTTGAAAAGACTTTGTGCACATTGACGAGCAGAAATTGACACGTGTTGCTGGACATTCGTAAAAAGATGCAAGAAAAGATGAGGAATCACTTTTCGTAAGATGACGAGGACGAGGCTAATATTATAAAATGTTCTGTGTGGTTGAAGAGATCTGGTCACCGAATTTTATCATTGGTCTTTTTATCTGGTGCGTCTTATTTTGTCTATTACATTTGTAACGAGAGTTTACAGAAGTCACTGCATCCATTTTCTGCACACTAAGATGTTAGGATATCTTGATGTTTAAGTCAGTGGTGAATTAATTTAATGCTTTGTGTGTGTGTGTGTGTGTGTGTGTGTGTGTGTGTGTGTGTGTGTGTGTGTGTGTGTCTCGCAGAGCCCTATAGGCTGCGTCGCCAGCTAAGTTTTCACAAAGGTCTTTGTCAGCGAAATCTAGCAGAGAAAAACAAAGTTCAGCAATTGGAGAGAAGATTTTGGTGTCATGTTCTTGAAGGGGAGTTGATAAGGAGATTGAGTTGTCAGAGAAAGTCTTCCTCAATTATTCAGGACCTCTGTCTCCCTTAACGTCTCCCCCCCCTCCCCTCTTCCCACCCTTTACTTCCTTTCTCTTGCTCTTTTCTCTTTTAGTATTTCCTACCTTGTTTAATCTCTCTCTCTCTCTCTCTCTCTCTCTCTCTCTCTCTCTCTCTCTCTCTCTCTCTCTCTCTTACTCTTACCTGCTCTCTCTGTGTTTGCCTTCCATCACATCTGGTGTGTGTGTAGCTCTCACACACACACACACACACACAACACACAGCCCTCAGTTTATCATCTTTATACTACAGCCAGGGGACCATGGTACTCTGGAGTCAGACCGAATACAGTACATTAAGGGAAATAAGCATGTAAACAAAAATGCTCATGTAGAGGCCTCAGTGTGACCCGTGAGAGGGAAAGTCTGTGAATATATTTTTCTGTAGACCTGTCTGATTTCTCCCCTTTTCTACCAGCTGGTAGTAAAGTATTAACAGTAATCCATTAACTACATTTCATATATTTTACAGGACAAACAAAATAAATGTAATGGAAGTATATTAATAGAAGAAAAATAGCACCTCAAGTCATCTCGGTGTGTCTCTGTAGTTGTAGTAGATGCAATGTGCAAGGTGTCTCGTTTTTTCTGCCGTCTTCATACTGTGCTGTCAAATTTCCTTTTCCGTTTGCAGTTTGGTAACTAGGCATTACACACACGGAAGCATTCATTGCACTGCGGGGAAGTGGTCAGGAAAATAACAATTGCAAAGGGAACTCGCCCTCAGGATGCAGGTTGTCAAATATCTCTCATATCCAAACCAATGTAAGGTAAAGTCATGGGGAGAGTTTACAGCTCAAGGCTCACGTAAGTGCTTCTTCCTTTTTTCTTTTGTGTTTCCTTCTCTTTTTGTTCTCCACGTTTCTCACGAGAACTGCAGTTCCTCTGTTTACTTTGGATGAACAGTAGTCATGAATCATTACTCAATTTTTTATTTTGCTGACAACTGAAAATGTGTGGGGGAATCAGTGATGTTTTTCGAGCTCTGACCAGTTGGAACGCCTCTTTAGTTTCCTTTCCTTTTCCCATGCAACCGCTCTGTGTCGTGACCCCGCTGCTCCGGACCCCTGTGTCTCTGAGGAATGGGGACAGCAGCAACACTCTGGGGTGAACGCATCCTCACCTGTTTGGATTATTAGAAATGCAATAATGAAGGAAAATTGCGTCGTCTTTGTGTTTCACATGAGAACTTGTTTCCTGCTCCATTTGCGTACGAATAATTGACGTATTGTTGTGCACATTCCTGCAGAAACCTGCAAACTTTGATACATTAGCAATACTCTTTTGGAGATCGGCCATATGTAAGGGTCAGCAAGAGGTCTTATTGTGTCCAGCCATCCATTATCCAAACCGCTTATCCTGTTCAGGGTCGCGGGGCGCTGGCGCCGATCCCAGCTGACATTGGACAGGTCGCCAGTTCATCGCAGGGCACATATAGAGACAGACAAACATTCACACCTACGGCAATTTCGAGTCTCCAAATAACCTAAGCTGCATGTCTTTGGACTGTGGGAGGAAGCTGGAGAACCCGGAGGGAACCCACGCTGCAACGGGGAGAACATGCAAACTCCACACAGAAGGACCACCCGGGATCGAACCCAGGTCCCTCTTGCTGTGAGGTGACAGTGCTAGCCACTACACCACCGTGCAGCCCGTCCTAGTGTGTGTTGGAAAAAAAAAAAGTACATAATAGCAAAAAGTATAGTTTAGTCACGTTCAACCTTTTTTTCTTATTGAGACAAATAATATATACAACATACAACATATACATGCATATCTGGTGGGAATCAATCTTCTGTTAAAGCAACACTTGGTAATCTGTAAAAAAAAAAATCAAGCTCCGCCTCCTCTTGGTGTTCCTAATGGCATTCAACTCCAAATCGACCCCAAAGAAAAACAAACAAATCAGAGGAGTCTCTTCCGCAGCTGTGAATCACTGCTAGCGAAGCCCCCGATCAAATGTGAATCAAAATTCTTGTTACTGCGTCACCTCAAATGTTTTCAGTAACGCATTTTAGCGTCCCTTTTTAACCGTAAAACGTTCTTACAGATAAGCTGTCACTCTTTATTGTGCTCACATTTTATGGACGTGTAATTATTTGTCAACACCAGTCATGCCCCTGTACCTGTAAACTCCGCTTCACTCCTCCTTCCTACAGGGGGAAATCCCAATTATGCTAATTAATCCGGGGATGATGGCTGATTTCTTCCTCATGGGAGGTTTTCTTCGATGCAGTTAGGTCGTCAAAATTGTTGATCCGGACAAGAGCTCAGTTTACATTTTAAGTAACAGGTGTTTTCAGACTGCGTTGAAGGATGGATGATTTAGCATAACATATGTTATGCTAAATCATTTAACATGATTACCATGGTTACCTGATAAGCATCAGCAGAAGTAAATAAGCATCTTGTGAGAGTTTCCTTCTAGATTTGGCGCCATCTAGCGGTTGCCAATAGGTTGCCAATAGCTACCATTCAAGGTGCCACCTGCCAATCAGGACGCTAACTAATCATTCACACCTGTTGCCCAAAGACACATCGACACGGACTAATGGAGCTGGGGATCGAACCGCCGATTGGTGAAGGATGACCCTGCTCTACCACTGATCCACAGCCGTCTATAAGCATCTTGTAAGAGTTTCCTTCCATTAAAGTGTGTTGGATTTGGCGCCATCTAGCGGTGACGTTTCCGATAGCAAGCCGGCATTTGGTTTGTCCCTTCTGGGCTACTGTAGAAACATGGCGGCTGGCTCCATGTAGAGGACTCGCTCTGTGTCTAGATATAAACGGCTAATTTTAAGGTAACAAAAAACCAACGATACTTATTTTCAGGTGATTATACACTCAAAAAAACATTCTTATTATTAGTAAACTCTCTGGCGACAGATCCCCCTAAATGCTACACACCGTTCCTTTTACCAACTAAGTTGCATCTTTCTGTTTGAACCTTTGGGCTCCCGAACATATTATGTCTAGAATCTATTTTCCCTGAAGAGTTGGAGTTTAGTTGTTTGAATATGTGTGTGTGTCGGTGTGTGTACAGTTTGCAGTGTCTTGTGACAGAAAAGACTGATTGTTCCAGTTTACTGAAGACACTCATGAATTATTTATGACCTCTGACTGCCTCTGTTAGTCAGTAGATGCTCTCCTTTCTTTCAGTTTGTTGCTCTCTTTTGTCCCTTTTTCTGTCCGCCCGTCGCTTGGTTGTTGACGCGTCGCTGATTCTTTCTTCATCCTCTTTTGGACTTGAAAGTTTGTTGAAGCTGTATCTCTATTTCTCACAGTGTTGTCCTCCCTCGTCTCATTTATAATACAGGGGAGGCTGTTTGTGTAGTCTAATTAAATTGGACCCCCGTCTTTGTTGCCCTGAATGGAATCTGGGTGAGGTTTAGATAGCCCTCTTACAAAGGCCTTATCTCAAATTGCCCAGTGTTTGAGTACGAAAGGGGGAGGGGGGGGGGGTGCTGCTGATGCCTTCATGCCAGTTTTGAATTGAAACCATTTGCTCTGAAACACAGTTTTAAGTGTTATTAATACCGTGTCAGCAGCATTGAAAGGACTGTGGTATCTTTATTTTTTTGTAAATTTGAATTGCATATAATTTTAAGGTGTAAATCAGACATTTGCCTCTCCACATATGTGAATGAGACAGTTTGAAATATAGCACAGATGTGCATTTTGGTATGTGGTCCATGTTCGACAGCTGAGCAAGCTACTTATTTAGAGACAACACACGGCTCACTATCTGTCTCTCACTTTCTTGAGTTCAATCAGAAGTTGCCAAGAGTATCAGTCTACCTGTGTGAGCTCTAACAGGCAGTTATTTTTTTCTTCTTCTTTCTGTCCAAATCTGATCTCCAACTTGTCCTCTTCTGATCCCTGAAATAGCTGCAGCCAGATATATAAACTGGTCAAACAAAGGTCGCAGCAAATCGACGAAGAAATATCAAAATTTACGAGGTGCGTACACGAATGATCGTACATGCTCTCCACCTGCATATGGCCCTCTCTGCATCTGTCCTCGTCTACTAGTGTAGGGTATTAGGTGTGTCTGCGTGAAACGTCGTCGGCCATTGCGAGATGGAAACAGAGGATTAAGCCAGCGTTGTGTTTTGACCTACAGGTGCCCTCATTTACTATCCTGTCACACACATATTTGATCTTGGTTGAGCTGGTCGAGAGAGACGCAACCTCCATTTCAGGGAGACCAATTTGGCAAATCAAATACGAGCTTGTACTCATTCTAAATAGATTACTTTGTGACTTTATTCTAATATTAATCTTGCAATTGTAGAGATGGATTGTTAATATTCAAACTGGACTTCGAGGATCGTTTTTCATCTGCTCACCGGTACTTTTAGCAGCACAGCTACACAGACCCTTTATAATTCATCGTTTGAAGAATGGACTTCAATCTTCTACCCAAACCGGTTCATCATTTCTGCTTTTGCTTCTCATTGAAGAAAATACTTTACCGTTTCAAGATGCATTTTCTGGGCTGTCTTCATTGCCAGAAGAACCTGTGCACTCTAAACTGCAGTGTTTTTGAACGTGTGGGAAACATGAAAACCAAGTGAAAATCTACTTATCTATCGACTCATCTGCTCCTTTGGCTATTTTCCAGTTTTACAAGCAACTATTCTCTTTTGGGTTTAGGTCTTTGTGTTAAAGATTAGCTCTTAAGGTTTTTTTATCTTTTTTTTTTTTTCACTGCATGATACTTTAAAACTTGTCTCCGACACATGTTTTAAACCCTGATCAGCAGTGTATGACAACAATTGAAGGCCCTGTTTCTACAGAAATGTATAAATTGGAGTGTCATTAAACTTAACCTGTAATGTAATGTGTGTAGATTATTGAAAACCTTTGTCCTCTGTCTGTCTCCCTCCGTCTTCTTCCAGATGAGGGTTACTACCAAAGTGGAAGGTTTCAGTTTGAAATAGACGTCCCCGAAGCCTATAACATGGTGGTGAGCGTTCCAGTTATTTCTCATTTGCGTGTCTGTTTGTGTGTTTGTATGTCTGCATGCCCACCTGTGTATCTGTGTCATCAGCATCAGCCGGCAGCTTCCTGTTTTGGCCCATGAAAATAACGACTCCAGATTTGCCGTCGGATGTGGTCTGTTATGTTCTGTCATGCTGATTTGTGCATGAAGTCAGTTCAAATAATGAACTAAAAATATGTGCATGGTGTTCTAAAAATCCCATTTCCTTTCATTAAAGTTCATACAGGAATATCAGGGTACTGAGCAATAGATTTTTCTATTCTCTGTGTGGAAGCTCTGCAGAATATACTGCATCATTTTTCCACCTGACCTTCACAGGTTGAAGATCCTCTGTTCACCTTTTTCTTTATCTGTTAGCCTGTTACTTCTTGCTACACAGGCCTAACTCACCATGCCAGTGTGTGTGTGTGAGTGTGTGAGAATCTGTCTTTTGTTGGTGTCTCTATGTATCCCTGCACATGTACGTCTGCTTTGTATCTTCGTCTTTCATCACACACACTGTTTCCTCTACATGCAGCCACCTGTTGCCGTTTTATGGCACCTGCCACAGAATGATAAATAATAAGCATTCAATCATGAAAGGTTAATCGATTCATGAAGGAAGGCCTAGCGGTGTTCAAGTGGAGAATTGCTCCTGTGGGATGAGCAATGTGCCCAGACAGAAATGTTCAGCAGCATTCCTCATCGGTACGCCTATTACTGCTTATTAACATGATGTTAGATGTAATAATGCGGCTACATTGTACAAAAATATAGTATGTGGAAGGAATGAGTCCTAAATCCTGGATAGGAGGCAGCATTTTTGCGCTTTCGGCTCCCTCTTCTTGAAGTCAATGGGTTTTTGGTTAAATGCCTGAAATAAGGTCTGTGGCAACACAAGTTTAGAGATTTTAACGCTTTGTTTTACGAAATAAAATCAGCCGCTAAATAACACTCTCTCGTGAATTGAGAAGCTTTGACATGTCTTTAAAAAAGGTGGTTGCTAACTAAAGTCGCTAACGCAGACTACTAAACATCATCACACCAAACACTGGGCCGCCTTTACAGCCTTGTACTGTGTACTTACGCTCATGTGACTGTGGTATAGTTCATTTATAGCCTAACGTTAGCTTTTTACTTCTACTGATTGCGTTCACCTTTCAAAAATCATTAAAGTTGTGTTTATTTGTGGAGATTATCTCGCTGAACAAGACGTGAACGTGTGTTTGCCAGAGATAATTTTCTGCAATGATCCAAAATCCAATGGAAATTGGCTTTTGGAATCTTTTACAAATGTGGAGTAATTAGGTTTCTATGCATCAAGTTAACCAAAACAATGTTTGAGTTCGTTTTGGGATGACGATCTTGAGGATCGTGTGAAAACACATGAAGAGCAGCGTATTACTGCAGCAGGGTCTCGTACAAGTTGAGTTGAAGGTTGAGTATTGAGTGTGAACAATAGGAAAATACTACATTGCAGTAAAGAGGTGTTGGTGAGTATGGAGGCAATCGATACGACCTGTTCTTCACAGCTTTTCGTGAGCGCTCTCGGTATTATTATTTGCATCCTCCTTTCTCCATCACTGCCACAGCTTCAGTGTGACCAAGACAATGAAAAACCATTACATGATTGTAGTTGTTGGGATCTGGCAGGTGTGGTTATTAGCAAGTATGAAAACTAAATCATTGATATCAATACAAGTATTAATATCAATAGGATTGTTAACATATATGAACAATAACAGGCCTCTTCCTTTGTTTCAGCCACATGGTGAAGTTCCAACATAGTCATTTTACAACAGCTTGTGTTGCTTATACAAATCAGGAAAAATGACTTTTGTGTTTCTGCTATTGCAGTATGCAACGCTAATATTCAAAGATGTTATTGTTTAACCTTATGAGAGCAGTCATACTGGATGTCTTAGATTTGTAAAAAGTCAAAAAGTACATTTTATTCTAAATGTGTAGATATTTTGAAACATGCAGGTCTGCCTTCCCCTATCTGAAAATTGTCTAACAAAAAGTTTAAAGCCCAAAAGCACAGTGGGACATGGAGCGTATGCAGACTCAGAAGGCACAGAAGCGTCCATGTTGACCAACAACAGTGAATACACCATGTGTGGACACTGGCCTGAGTTTTGAAGGCTGCTTTATTTGACTGCTCACGACTTAAGAATCTCTCAAAAATGGGAAAATACACATTTTACAGGAAATATTTAAACCAGAGAGGCAAATACTGTAGTTTCTTTAATTTATTTATTTTATGGCCTTGTTGCCTCTTCTTGGCCAAATGTCTATTTGTGTGTCTACATGGTTGACAATACCAATGAATTGGTTTGGCGAGCATTTTGCACATTATCTACCTAGAAAAGAAAAGAGTCATTGAGGATCTTACCTCGGTTTAATATCAAAATAGCTCACAAAACCCAAAATCATTGAAGTGGTAATTATATAACTGTGTTATAGTAGAAGAAAAATGTCTTTATACATCACTACATCATACTTACATAATGATGAAAACGTGTACTTGACGTTATGCTCTGATTTAATTCTGAGGCCAAACGCTCTGCTAGTAAAGCACGTCCATTCACCAATGCCTCTTTACTGCAATGTAGTATTTTCCTGTTCACACTCAACCCTCAGCCTTCAATTCGACTTGTTTTCTCTATTATACCTTCAGCAAAGACTTGTATGACATACATATTCTCAGACTAGTGTATATTAAAAGTTTGTTTAAAATCAAATGAAATCATTCAGTGAATAAAAATGTCGCTCGTGTTTCAGCCTCCTAAAGTGAGATGTCTGACCAGAATATGGCATCCTAACATCACAGAGACTGGAGAGATCTGCTTGAGGTAATGCTTCCTACACATGTTTTATTTTATGTTACATTATTGTTCTTCCTGCTAAGAAGTGGATGGAAACCGTAAATATACAGTATTCCCTAAACTAGACATCCCTTCTCACCCAGATACAGCTGTGTCACAGCTTTTATATACAGTGGTCTTTGAGTTTGTAACCTTTGGCGTTGCATGAGGGCAACAATGTACAACGACAAGCTGCCACAAAGTGACTTTGATAACATACAAGTATTGACACTGTTTCTTTTTTATTTTATTTCAGCTTATTGCGGGAACACTCTATTGATGGCACAGGCTGGGCCCCCACTAGAACTTTACAGGTAAATGAATTGTATTTATTCAAGAGACTGTGTCTTTGTTAAAGAAAAAGCAATAGGAACTCTTCGGCTATGTTTCGAGGGTTCTTCGGTGTATCCAGCGTATATCCGGGCCAAGACTTCCTCTTCCGTGTGCCGCTCATTGTAAACATTCCAATTAGCAACCTGAGATGCTAATTCATTGTTCGGATTGTTTCAAAAGCAAAAGTAGCCAGTTTACAAGTTCATTTTAAACCAATAATAGGCAAAATCATCATCAGGCGATAGCCGATGGGTTCCCAGATTTCATTTCGGCCAATGCGTTCTGCTTTTTTTGCTCTCAGCACGAACTGTTTACCTGTACTCAACCAAAGCAGGCTTCACCTTGATTGGTCAATACTACTCGGACTACAAACGGTAACCAGAATGCTTCCGATGCCCAAATCTTGTCCTGTTGCCTACCGATTCTGCAGAATGCATATGAATACAGAATCTAAAGATGAAACAACACGTTACTCTCTTGAAGAACTTTTTTTTTACTGTGGGCATTTTTTTTCTGGAATGTTAAATGTTGAAATGTCATCATTTTGTGTATTTCACTTGATACAGTCAGAAAGTGATAAACATCTGATGAAAATGAAACACCGTTAAAAAGTTATTGTAAGAACTGTATTCTAGTATTATTAAGTACTCATATCGGTACTCTGTCTCGGCAAGTGCCCAAATGTAAGTACTTGTACTTGAAAAAAAGTGATAGTGGGGCACGTCTGCTATCACGATTCAAGATTTGGCTAAAATTACCTTTGATGGCGACTACCTTGTGGAACTGAATGTAGTTATACGGTGAAGCTCTACCTTCCATGAATAATAAGCATTCTGATCCAATCTACGCCTGACTGTGCTTCTCTGCAGGGAGGCAGAGCCAGATCAACATTCCTCTCAGTCACTGCACTGGGGTGCGATTGTAATTATGAAATATGTAAACATATGCATGCTGGATGCAGTTGCCTTCAGAAGTGGAAGTAATGCGTTACCTGTCTTCATTGAAAGAGGAGCAAAGAATGGCACTGAAGGCTTTTCTCAATAGTAAAGATGTTCTCGCTCTTCTCCCGACTGGCTTCAGCAAGAGTTTGATTGGCCAATGGTCCATCCAATCGCCTGCCAAGTATTTTTTTGAAAATGTTGCCAATGACGGCTTTTCTGATCGTTCTGTGTAACAAATCATCTAGCGGGTTAGATTAGGCCCTCCTACCTTCAGTTCCAGATTCTCTTGAGGTCTAGAGGATCATCCATTCCCTTTGGACCCGAGAGCCCCCCACGGGGGTCTGTTTTAGAGTGTGTAGCATTCAGTGTGTCGTAGAAAGCATTTTTCATAAAGAAATATGATTATTGCTCCAGACATTAAATATCGAATTAACGGGAAAAGTCCAAGCAACATCATCATACCAGCCATTGTAAACACTGCAAACACAATTATACATGAACTAATATCATATCTAGAAGATTTGCCACAATTTTGGCCAAAAATCTACGACCTATGCTCTCTCTATGGCTCTCTCATCACGAAGCAGGGACCGCACATGGCGGATGAGCACATTTAGCAGGCTCGTGATTCGACCCGGAAACGAGCAGCGGCGTCGAAATTACTCTCTTTCAAACCATTCAAAAGTTATGGGTATACATGCCAACATCAGCCACAGGTCACGAGAAAAAAAATTGGGTAAAAAAACTTACGTTTTGACGGTTTTGGCGATGTAAAACGGATTTATTCCAGCGGATTTCAGCGCAGCTCTTTCCTCCATGTTGTGCTGCATGCCTGTGAGTGAGATCAATGCGCTGGCGGAATGAATCACAAAATGGCAGACGATTCTGTGAGGTGGAGCAATCCATGTAGAGAGGGGGGTTCGCCCAGCATTTTGCGATTTCTAGTCAGTAAACAGACACGGAGATTCTCAAACACCCCCGCATGGCTCCCATTGGACTATCCCGCATCTAAAAAGGTCTCACACGAGTAAATCAGCCAAGCACAGGCCTTACCAGGGTCACATAGACACACATGAGCCATTTATTGTTATGAATGACAGATATGACACATCATAACTGCTCAAAATTATTCAAAATGGTGTCAAACTGCTTTATTAGGATTATTGAACACTCTTAGTGATAAGAAAAGTGAATATATAGTTAATATTTAGTTATATAGTAAATAAAATTAGTATACAGCAATGCAACAGTTGGTTCTGAAAATCAAAATTTTGATTTTTATGACCATTTATGCTGGCCTGCTTCACTCAATCGAAGTAAAATATGTTGTGGGGACATGTAAAACGTGTTGTTCTATGTCTGTGGCGTATTTTTAGGCTTGCAGCTGCATTATTAAAAAAAAATATGTTCAATACAAGTGCTTTTTTTCCAGGCGAACCTGGAAATTTTTCAATTTGAGCTGTGCCATAAGTGTATCAGTTATTAACCAGTAACATATACACAATATTTACACAATTCAACACATCTCACAAGTGTTACCAGTATTCTAGCATCAAAATTATTAAAATAGACCTTGTAGTTAAAGCTGGGGACTCTCTTGAGTATGGGTATGCAATTTTCGAGCAGAGGGCTAAAAATAGGGCTAGGGTCCAACAGGATATTATGAAATGCTCTTAAACCTCTTGAGTTTCCTGCCAAGACTTCTAGTTATTGTCAGGATCTGTCTTATCCTTCAGGGTTCTCTCCCTATTTATTTTTTTTAGTTTTAAGGGTTTGTTTCAATCCAGGTTACCCCTCTCCTTTTTCCTTGTTTCTGGTGTTGTCTGCAAACATTAGCACACTTGGGGGGGGTCTTCTTTCTCTGCTTTCAGAAGAAGCCGTAGCCTTCCTGTACAGAATGAAGAACACATTCCATGTAATTAAGAACCGTCAAGCTAAAGTTTAAGCTATGGTAATGTCATCATGATCGGTTCAGTGTCCCCATACCCCTGAACACATTATGTTGCACTCTGCATGATGTCCATCACATGATACAGCAAGGAAAACAGGCAATACAAGTTTAGCTCAAAATCAAATTGCTTTGTCATAAACAGTTATTTTTATATTAAGTAAAATCAGGCTCCAATGTGATAGCAGTCTGTGGTCAGATCCAATGTTCAGCTGGAGTGGACACTTTAATGGTGATACTGGAACCTTTATGTCATGTCTTCAATTTTCTTATGTTAACATCACACAAAAAAAGGGACGGCAATAGATGCATATCTAAAACGTGAAATGGTTTCTGTGCGTAAACAAAATTGCCTGGTCGCTTATTACATTATTACTATCCCAAAAACATTCTTCACCACATCATTGGTATCTACAAGGTTTGGATTAACAGGTTGAAAGGTAACATTAAAGTAAACACATTTTATCCTCCCGTAACAAATTATTTTAATGCAAGTGTTGATGGTTTGATTTAACGCAACATTTACGTTGTTGTCCCGATGTTGTGTTACTGGATTTAGGTCTGAGAACAGCAGGTTTATAACACCAACTCTTTCGTAGGAAAATCAATTAACTCCAGTGCAATCGCTTCACTGAAATGAATCTGTGCTTATGTTCCGCGTAGAGTTCAACTCTGATGAACTTTAACATACAAGCTTCCGCCGTTTACCAAAAGTTTTGACAGTGGTGACCTCTGAGAGTATGCTATCGTAGCTTAGTAGCTGTGCTGCGCAAATTCACTTTGGAGTAAAAACTGTTCCACTAAAAAGCAACAGTTAGCAGACGGTTACAAGACTGAAGTTGATGGAACAATCATGTCTCTTATAATGTCCCGTTGGCGACCAAGCTATGCTAACGAACTAATGGGGTTGCTAACTGACCATTCGACCATTTCCGTTATTTTCGTTCTTCAATATCTTTTCATGAAGTGAAATGGTGTGCAATTTGATGTGCAGCTCAATTATGCTATGATGTGCTGGTTTCTAAATTCTATCTAAGCCTTGATTAAGTTATATCCTGGTCAGCGTTGTCTATCGACAGCAGAAACTCAAGCAATCAGTGAAAGCACTTGATCAAAAAAACATGCTCTAATCCACGTCCACACTTTCATTATGAGAGCTGTTGAGATTGCCTGATGCCCTGCTGCAGATCAACTTTCACACCAGGCATTCAGACACAAACAAGATGCTAATGACAGCTAAGTGTATTAGGGTATGAGTTCAAGAAATAACCAAATGAGCAATGTAAAAAAGAAAATGTTACGTGGTGTGAATGTTTATGTGGTTGGCTCTTTTCCTGGGAAAATGATTTGCTTGTGCCAACAACCACTTGTTTTGTGTCACAGCCAAAGAACACTTGTGTGGTTTACTGTGAAAGGTAGGATGGTGACAAAATTTGGTGATTTTGCTCTGAAAAACACACAGATGGCTTGTCATCTATGAAATATTCAAGTCTCAGTTGTGTATTGTTTTGAATACTTCTCTTCCTCGCCATTGATTGGAAGAAGTCGCTGTGAGGAAAGCAGTTTTGCATACATAATATGTGCTCATTTTCCAGTGTGTTTGTGTTCATTATAGCAACACTATTCAGTGAGCACACAGTCAGGCTCATTATACACACTCTTTGGCATTGTAGCGTTCATGTAATAGGCACAAAATGCATTTGTGCAACGTTTCACCTTTCAAATAGATGAATTAAAGCTGCCGTATCTGCTCACTGTAAAAGTGGAGAGCAGAAAAATGGGACAATTTAACCTCCTGTGTTGCTGATTTTCTGGTGCAACAAAACAGTTCTGCACCTTGCACACAGCCCGGTTAAGGCGGGACTATTAAGGCATGGTGTTCTGTATAAAAGGCACAGAGACGGAACGGCGGGACAGAGTTGTTTACCCGGCAGAGAAGATGGTAACAGAGCAGAATCGATGTCTGTGTAAAGACAGCGTACGCTGTTTCGTTACGCGTCGCGCCTCTTAAGCTCAGGTAGCTTATAGTTGTGCAGCGGTTAAACAAGACTACGGTTCTGTTTGTATTGCGGTTTTTGGGTCACGGTTGTTTTGGTTCCGGTTGTTTTTGCGCATTAGGGAGAAGAAAGACAAACATTTCCACTGGGTTTTATCTCCAACATATAGTAATATGGTCATGACTATATAAAAATAGTAATGGCAGATATTTCTATATTATATGAAGCTATAACACTGATTTTAAACATGAAATAAGGCAGGCTGCTTAATGGTTGAGTAGGCCTACGTTCACGTAATTGCCTCTTCTATGTCTCCTCATCAAATATTTAGCATGTCTATTTTTAATAACGGTGGTTCAACAAGACCACTGTTTGGTTTGTACGGCTATTTTACATTTCTTTTGCTTGTATCACACTTAGCAAACAGACATTTTGCTACCTCAAAGATTAATTTCACTATGTAAATTGAATAAATACTTGTGTGTGGAATGAGCGAAACATAACTGAATAGAATCCCTGAAATCATTATCTTGAAATCCTCCATCGGCGCACCCGCTGACTGTTGTTTACAGCTGCTCCCAGTGAAATACATCGGCCCTTATTAGCTGGTCTCTGTTACATTCCGCCACCATGTCACTGCTGTTCTTAGCTGGGATTTCACTTGTTCCTCTAAGTAGAAAGCAGGGGGATAATAAAAGTCGCAAGCTACAGTAAAAAAAAAAAAAAAGAAGAAAAAAGGCTATTATGTTGCCGTGTTTGTTTTTCCTTACACAGAACCCTTCAGCCTATAGCTGCTGTCTGAGCTCCTGTAGAATCACAGCCTGCATGTTACGGCGGTATATTAAAGAGTCTCATGGCTCCTGCAGACAGGATTCAGGGATTTGATGATTTTTAACTTCGGTGATTCTGTGCCTCTGCTTTGAACAGATCTTTCTTTTAACCATACGACTAAAAGGAATTTATAATAATATTAGATATTAAATTGCCCTCCCACGAAATTATGAGGGATTATTCGCTTCCTTCATACTTTATATATTCCAAGTTTATTCACAAGATTGGTGATATACTATATCCATACTATATTCAATTCAATTCAATTCAATTTATTTTTGTATAGCCCAAAATCACAAATTACAAATTTGCCTCTGAGGGCTTTACAATATGTACACATTTGACATCCTCTTGTCCCAGGACCCTCACATCGGAACAGGAAAAACTCCCCCAAAAAACCCCTTTAACGGGGAGAAAAGAGGAAGAAACCTGTGGGAGAGCAATAGAGGAGGGATCCCTCTCCCAGAATGGACAGAAGTGCAATAGATGTCATGTGTAGAACAGGATAGTGAATTACAACACATTCAATGTAATTACAGCACATTCAATGTATGACAGAACCACGGCAGGAGGCAAGACCTGTTCCAGGTATAACCCGGATACACAAGAACCTGTGAGGCGAGAAAGCACAGAGACTCTGGTGAAGAAGCAGGTCAATAATGTGCATTAATGGTATCGGTAATATGAAATAGTAATGCGAGTAATAATAAAAGTGATATTAGCAGTTGGAGTCAGCAGGGCCATGGTAGGAGGAAGGACCAGGGTCCAGATGAAACCATGCTCCATGGAAACCTGTGAGGAGAGAAAGCACAAGGACTCCGGGGAAGAGACAAAATCAGTACTGTGCATTCATGGTATCGGTAATAGGGTTAATAATGAAGATCGTAGTAGGTGTCAGCAGGGCCATGGATGGTTGAAGGACCAGTGTCCAGATAAAACTGCGGTCATGGTAACCTGTGAGGCGAGAAAGCACAAATACTCCGGGGAAGAAGTAAAGTTAGTAATGAGCATTAATGGGACATCAATGCTCATCAAAGACAGAGGTGAAGAAGAGGAGGAGAGAGGTGCTCAGTGTATCCTAAGGAAGTCCCCCTGTAGTTTTTGCCTATACCAGTTTGTCTAAGGGCCGGTCCAAGGCAAGCCAGAGCCAGCCCTAACTATAAGCACTATCAAAGAGGAAAGTCTTAAGCCTACTCTTAAATGTGGTGAGTGTGTCTGCCCCCCGGACTGAAACGGGAAGCTGGTTCCACAAAAGAGGAGCTTGATAACTGAAGGCTCTGGCTCCCATCCTACTTTTTAAGACTCTAGGAACCACAAGTAACCCTGAATTAATGGAGCGCAGCTCTCTAGTAGGGCAGTATGGTACTATAAGCTCTTTAAGATATGATGGTGCCTGACCAATTCGGGCTTTGTAGGTAAGTAAAAGGATTTTAAATTCTATTCTAGATTTTACAGGGAGCCAGTGCAGAGAAGCTAATACAGGAGTAATATGATCTCTTTTCTTAGTTCTTGTTAGTACACGAGCTGCAGCATTCTGGATCAACTGGAGAGATTTAAGAGACTTATTAGAGCAGCCTGAAAATAAGGAATTGCAGTAATCTAGTCTAGAGGTAACAAATGCATGAACTAATTTCTCTGCATCGCTTTGAGACAGGATGTGCCTGATTTTTGAAATATTACGTAGGTGAAAAAAGGCAGTCCTAGAAATTAGTTTTATCTGAGAGTTAAAAGACAAATCCTGATCAAAGGTAACTCCAAGATTCTTTACGGTGCTGCTGGATGCCAGCGCAATGCCATCTAGAGAAACTATATCATTAGATAACTGATTTCGGAGGTGTTCTGGGCCTATTAGAATAACTTCAGTTTTGTCTGAGTTTAACATCAGGAAGTTGCAGGTCATCCATGACATGCTTGCAGTTTAGCAAGCTGATTGGTTTCATCTGGTTTATCGATATATATAATTGAGTATCATCTGCATAACAGTGAAAGTTTATAGAGTGTTTTCTGATAATATTGCCTAGAGGAAGCATATATAAGGTGAACAAGATTGGTCCAAGCACAGAACCTTGTGGAACTCCATAATTGACGTCGGTCTTCATCTTCATCGTTTACATAAACAAACTGAGATCGATCCGATAAATAGGATCCAAACCAGTTCAGTGCGGTTCCTTTGATGCCAATATAATGTTCAAGTCTCTGCAACAGGATGTAGTGGTCTATCGTGTCGAACGCAGCACCAAGGTCTAACAGGACAAGAACAGAGACTAGTCCTTTGTCTGATGCGATTAGAAGGTCGTTAGTTAGTTTTACCAGAGCTGTCTCTGTGCTATGATGTTTTCTAAATCCTGACTGAAAATCCTCAAATAAACTATTGTTACGTAGAAAGTCGCACAACTGATTCGCAACTGCTTTCTCAAGGATCTTAGAGAGAAAGGGAAGGTTAGAGATCGGTCTATAGTTGGCCAACACCTCTGGATCGAGAGTGGGTTTCTTAAGAAGAGGTTTAATTACAGCTACTTTGAAGGACTGTGGTACATGGCCTGTTAGTAAAGACAGGTTGATCATATCTAATAAAGTCGTGCTAATTAGTGGTAGCACTTCTTTAAACAGCCTAGTCGGTATAGGGTCTAAGAGACAGGTAGAAGGTTTAGACATAGAAATTGTTGAAGTCAATTTGTCAAGGTCGATGGGAGTAAAGCCATCTAAACATATATCAGGGTTTACAGCTGTTTCTAAGGTTACTCTATTTGTGGAAAGATCGGTACTAGTCGAGGGCAGTACATTGTTTATATTCTCTCTAATCATTATAATCTTATCATTAAAGAAGTTCATGAAGTCATTGCTACTGAGGTCTATAGGGATACTCGGCACAACAAAGCTGTGACTCTCTGTCAGCCTGGCTACAGTGCTGAAGAGAAACCTGGGGTTGTTCTTATTTTTCTCTATTAACGATGAGTAGTAAGCTGCTCTGGCATTACGGAGGGCCTTCTTATACGTTTTAAGACTGTCTCGCCAGACTAACCGAGATTCTTCCAAGTTAGTGGAACGCCATGTTCTTTCAAGTTTTCGCGATGTTTGCTTTAATTTGCGGGTTTCAGGGTTATACCAAGGAGCGAACCTCCTTTGTTTTACTAACTTCTTTTTTTAAGGAGCAATAGAGTCTAGTGTCCTTCTCAGTGACCTTGTAGCACTATCGACAAGATGATCAATCTGGGTAGGACTAAAGTTAGCACAGGAGTCCTCTGTTATATTGAAGCACGGTATTGAGTTAAATACAGACGGAATCACTTCTTTAAATTGAGCTACGGCACCATCAGATAGACATCTAGTGTAGTAACTCTTGCTTACCGGTGTACACTCCGTTAGTAGGAATTCAAAGGTTATTAGATAATGGTCCGATAAAAGAGGGTTCTGTGGATAGACTATAAAATCTTCTATGTTAATGCGATAAATCAGAACCAGGTCGAGAGTGTGGTTAAAACAGTGAGTGGGTTTCTGTACATTCTGACAGAAACCAATCAAATCTAATACTAAGATAAATGCAGTACTGAGGCTATTGTTCTTGACATCCACATGAATATTAAAATCACCTACAATAATTACTTTATCTGTTTTAAGGACTAGACTTGATAAAAACTGAGAAAATTCTGATTAAAAATTCAGAATACGGATATATTCAGAATATATAATAAAGTGAGAATTAAGACTTTTTTATTTTTGGTCTAATTGTACTGGGCTCCTCTGTGAAGTGTGTATGTTTTCATGAATATATTGAAACTGTGATACTATTTGATCATTCATATTTTTCCATTTGTTTTTTTCCAGGACATTGTCTGGGGATTGAACTCCTTGTTTACTGTAAGTTGTGCTTGTTTTTTTATTAACATTGCTTTGTTGTTAGAAACTGAACTTCCTACATCACACTGACCGGGCAAACAGCCAGCGCATGAACAGTCTGTGCAGGTTTTAGGAAAAAAACAATGGTTGTGTATGCGCACACAGATTCCTGTTGTTAAATGAGGAAATAATGAAAAGACCAGGGAGCTCTCTTTTAACAGACACTGATGCTGACTCTATGTAAGGCTGTTGTTCATCTCTCTTTACAGCTGTAATAAGTTAAATTATCTTTCTCAGTATGAAGAGCAATTTGAGGTGATAAGGGAAAATAAAAACCAAATTGATTGCACATCATGCTTGTGGAAATTCACCCCCAGCTGGTTCTGGGTTTTTTGATTAAATGGAATGGAGGATATGCTAAATTAGACAATAATATACGTTTTAGTTTCAATAGTTTAACTAAACATTTTGGATGCAGCTGAGTAAGCAGCTGAAAGTAAACACATTATTTAGTTTACTCCAAAATACTCTGCTAATTGCAAGCTTGCATAAGTCTATCATCGAACGCATTTCGAAAGCATCCACCCTTCCCCTGAGGTCCTCAGTGTGTCTGTGGTGATAATGGGGACGGTAATCCGCATTGATGTGCGGTCGTGCCCTAAATCTTACCTCATAATCAGGAAACAGCCTCTCAGGCCATCCATCTTTTAAAAAATATATATTTTATCTCTCTAACAGCGCTCTGCATCTTGCCGCGATTAGTTGTGCGTGGCATCACTTCAGCATAATTATACTCTTTTGTTGCAGCAGTTGCAGAATCCGGGGTGACATTGCAGACAGCAAATAGTGCTGCGGCAGGCAATATCTCCTTTAGCAGCTTTTTTTCTTTTTCTTTTGTGAAAAAATGTGACCCACACATGGAAGTATTGAACTTTGCAAAGATCTTCTATTCATGATTGTTCACTTGTGGGTTCACACTCTGTACCTTTTCTCTCTCCTCTCCTCTCCTCTCCTCCTCTCTCCTCCCCTCCTCTCTCCTCCTCTCCTCCAGGACCTGTTGAACTTCGATGACCCTTTGAACATCGATGCGGCGGAACATCATCTGAAAGACAAGGTGAGGCTTCACTGGCACAATCGGGGTGATCGTATCTATAATTCTGTTTCATTGCCGGACACAAATTCGGTGCCAAACGGTGACTGCACTCATTGACAGGCAGACGGTTCACTTGCGAAGCCTCCCCATCGCGTCTCAGATATGGTTATAGCCTCCATAATCATATTCATACTAGGGTTGTCACGATACCAAAATTATGACTTCGATACGATACCTGCCATAAATATCACGATACCCGATACTTACGATACGATACCAGAATTCGATACAATACCACAAATACGATACTGATATATTTATCTATAATACTAATAAATAAAACATCTGTACGGTTCCCTTTTTTACCAGCTTGTTCCTGCCCAGCTTTTTGAACACTTAACAAATGGCATTAATATTAATGTTTAACCTCTTCGCATCTTTTGAGCCTCTCTCATATTTCCGCTGGCTTTCAAACACAGCTGGAAGGTACGTAACTCTGTCTCTGTGTTGCTGCTGACTCTGCTGGCATCTGTCTGACTGTCTGTGGGAGTGGGTGGATAAACAATGCTTCATTTACTTGCATAGTGAGTTTGGTATTTTCACTTCATATTTTATCTTAATTCATGGAATAATTATTTTTCCTGAACTAAAAATAAAAATAATTGGCTCAAGATCCACCCTCAGGCTCCACCAGCATGTAGCCATTTTGCATCAGTTGTGTTTCATTTAGTACACTTTTGTGTGCATTGTGACCTCATGATCTTGTCTTCAAACTAGGCTAAGGCTACTCGTGTTAGCTGTCTATGGGTGAGTTTGGGGGTGTTCATGTTTATAATCACATTTGCTTACCTGTCGTTCTTTGAACTCTTTGAAAAGTTCGGGGTGTCTGTCTGAAAGGTGCTTTGCCATGTTAGACGTGTTGCCTCCCTTGGTCTGTGTGGCTTTGAAACAAGTTTTGCAGACGGGTCTCTGTATGTCAGTGGGGACCATACACGGACCTCCATTTCCGTTTTTGGTTTCGTTTTTCCGTTTTTGGTTTGAAACGAAAAACGAGAATACAATGGTATTTCCGTATTGCCGTTTTTTCGACTGAACGGTAAAACAGACTATCAAAACGTACACGGACCTTAATGCATGTCTCCCCTGCAGCACTTGCTGTGTGTGAGCGCTGCCTGTTGCTGTGAGTGCTGGGCAGCCCCGCCCCCTTGCAGTCAATGCCTGCAGGCAGCATGACAGGGAGCAGAACAGTGAGTGCGCTCTGATCGAGCTATTTTAATGAAGTATCGATACTAAAAATATGCAAAATCGTATCGTTTTTAACGTACGGGTACCGCGGTACCTTTTTAGTATCGATACACCGTGCAACATTAATCCATACCTTCAGCCCGCATAGAAAATATATCGGGACAGGACGCACAGCTGCTGCTGAAGCTACACTACTTTCTTTTTTAGGTGGGATTATGTGATATTCACTTGAGAGTGCTTTAATCCGGTATAGTGGGCTGAAGAGCACACAGCAGCCTCTCAGCAGAGGATGGCTGTGACTGTGGTAGATATATATTTTTTAACATAAGTACTTTAATTCTGGTCCTCGACAGTAGACGGCAGACTCTGCAATCTGTGAGTCGAATCAGCACCCTCAAGCTGTTAGTTTGTGTGTGTGGTTTTTATGAACTGTAACTTTAGTTATACTTTCTCTTGCACTTATATAGCGCCTTTCTAGTCTTCCGACCACTCGAAGTGCTGTACACTACATGCAGGGCTGTTTCAATATTATATTGATATTATGATATGAGGCTATACTGTATATGCGGTTCGATTTTGGATATGGTAATATATGGCATAACTGTTGTCTTTTCCTGCTTTTAAAGGCTGCATTACAGTAAAAAGATGTGATCATCTGTTCTATTATTTGCCTTTACCCACTTAGTCATTGTATCCACATGTCATTGTGTAAATATTGTGTAACAGCACCGATGGTCAACCCTATAAGATAGTAGCAATATTGACATCGAGGTATTTGATCTCCCCCCCCCCCCAAGCAAAGCAAACACAAGATGTTTCAAAAAGATAGGCACCCCGGCTAATTGATACTGAACCTATTCCCTCTATGTCTCCCCATTTGCACTTCTCCGCTCAGCTCTTCATCGGTGTCAGAAAGTGGGGAAACCGATGTTTTCAGTCTTTCTCTCAGTAATTGCTTTCCTGGATTGCCGACCGAACTAACGCGACTCTGCAGGGAGCCTGCTGACCGGAGTAATAGTTGTTAGTTGAGCCTGAGTTGAGACGAGCTGAAAGCCTTTTTTAAAATGTACAGCATTTGACCTTTGGCACTTTGCGCGTACCCTTTCCCGTGATGCATTGGGATGCACCCAGCAGTGCGTGATAATGGTCGCCATGTGACCCCCATTAGATGTGAAAGAGTTTTTGTGTTGTGAGAGGGAGCTGCACAAGAAATCATTTCTGGTTTGAGGCCATGATTGTTTAGATGAGTCAATGGACCCAGATGAAGGAGGAGATTGTCAACTGGGAGCCTTTCATGGCGATTTTAGAAACCGATATTCATTTGTTAGTGAGCCAAAGCTTTTTACAAATTTCTCTGCGCTACAATAGTTTCTCTTTTTTTTTCAATGCCTACAGAACTTTGCACCTACTTAGGATGCATCCATTCTTTCCTTTTCTCAGTTTGCCACCATCCCGATGAAAAGTGTGAGTTCCAGTTACCAAGAGCTACCGCCTTCTTTAAGCGTGCCTTAAGCTGTTCTGACCACGGCCGTGTGCAAAATCAGTCCTCATTTACTACACAGTGTACTATGTTCACAGCCCGCCGTTTTATTTGAGTGTGAAATGCATCCGCTGTGCAGTTTTTGTGAGTCTTTCAGCACGATGTCGTCACCGAAGTGAAGTAGCATTTTTCCTGAAAGTTAAAGTACCCATTTAATTCCTTACAGCATTCAAAAGCAACAGGGCAGGTATCTAGCAGCTAATTTAAACAATGCAACACACTCACAAAACTGGAAAATGAATACTGAACCGTGATTTCATAGAAGATCTAATTGATATATGTTTTCATAATATGATCATTTTGCAAAATTAAAGGAAGACAACTTGTAAAAAGACAATTCAAATATTTTCTTTTTCTAACGCTGAGTTAAAGCGCTGCCTCGGTGTGCTGTTGTGGTTCTCCAGAGTCACAACAACTGAAAACACAAAGTCGGCTATCCGTGACCCACTCCCACTGAGTCGCCGCCTACCGTAATCAACTTCAGCAGCGAGTGGGTGAAGCCATGGGAGTGTGTGCGTGTCAGTGCGCACGAACTAATGCGGATGCTGGCGCTCGTGTGTTGAAGCTTTTGAAGTGGAACTCCTCCTGTGGCTCCTCTCTGAATTAAAGTGGCTGAAAGGAAGCATCTTCATGGGCAATTTAGTGCATGCGAGCGTGCGTGCGTGCGAGCGAGCGTGTGCGCAGACAGCTGTATTACAAACACAGTTGGTACAGCTGGCACTAGAATGGAACAGGACAGTCGGCTTGAAAGAGTCTGCAGCTCCGGCATTAGCTGTGTTTACGTGTTTCATAGAGAATCCTGAAATATCAATTGACATTGCAGACTGTCAGTTTGAGGTGAGAGCATGTCCTCTGTGTGGTGTCGAGGGATTCTTCTTTGTCTGCTGACGAGTACTGAACTGTGAAACGTGCACACCCTGTGCCACTTTGAAATCCTTTAAAAAAATATATATATCTATAAATGCTAATTAAGCTTCTCCGTAGCATAAGAAGAATGTGTGGAAGATATTGTTTGAAATTGACATGTTTTAACAAAATGAGCAGACCAGGAGGGATAAGTCTTTTTCATGTCTGTACATTCCATGCTACACATGCTCATTCTAAGCAGATTTTGAGTGTGTGGTATGTTTCACAATAAACCTTGTACAAATAGCTGCAAAACATTAAAAAATGAATAGCGAATGGTGTTAATACAACTTTGGAAAACAAAAAAAGTAAATATTAAACCGGCATTTTGCTTTCAAACAGCAGCAGTATGTATTAAGAAATACATATGTGAAGGGAGCAGGGTATTAGAAACACCACTCAATGGCAACAATGGCCCCAAAAAATACCATAGTATTGAATCATCGCACACCAACAGAAGTGTAAACGTTCACCAAGACAGGATAGGATATAGGACTTTATATTGGATTGCATGAGATCCTACAGGTGTACCAAATAAACTGTAACATATTGCATCAGTCATCTAGAGTGCATCACAATACCACATGTGTTACGTGGAAGAAAATGGTCAAAATATCCGAAAAATATTTAATATAAGATAAGACGATCCTGTATTGGTCCCACAGTTGGGAAATTTTGCACATACAGTATCGTAACCCTTGTGTTGTCTTAACTTTCTGTAAACACCACTTGTCCTAAGGGTCAAAAATCACCCGCCTTCACTAAACCCCTAAAATAAAACAGCTTGATTGCATTTTAAACCCCAAATCTATGGGGTCATTCATCACAAACTTTGTGAATATCTAAGTTTTTCCTCTTCACAGTGCAGAAAGACTGTTTAATCTGGAATCCACTTCTCCCAGACCTCTCTTATGGCCGCAAGTTTGTCTGTTACACGCCTTGCAGGTCTTTACTCATGATTATCAAATCGTATCGTTTTTGAGAAAATATGAAAGACTTTCAGTGACATCATTGCACGGAAAATCGCCCTTCCACTCTATCCATCCCAAAGACTAGATGCAGCCTCGCCTTGGGACCTATACATGCCTGCTAAGATTAGCAGTCCGATGTAGGCACGCAAGTCAATCTCATCCATCCATTTCCAGTTGTCTGGAGGTGCTGTCATCTGCAGCACCCTTATAGCCTCTGACTGCATTTGCTGCATATTTGCGAGAAAGTTTTCGTTTTCCCTGAGTTCAATCAGTAGCACATGTAATCTCAATTTATTGTGTGTGTGTTGTTGTGGTGTGTTTTTTATGGTTTCTGTAGTATGAAAATGATTTTATAACTG